TGACGGATGACTGCCGTTGAGGCTTGTCTCTCTGGTTGCTTCGGTACAGCGCAGGCGCGCGCGAGCTCAGGCGTCCAGGGTCGGTCGAGATGGATGGACGGGACTGTTTTTGATCTGAATATGGAGCACAACAAAACAGTCGGTGGTGAGTCTTCCTTGAAAGAAGGGGGAAGGGGGGAACGGGGGAACTGATGATGGTCGTGACCTGGAGGTCTAGGTAGGACATTGGGGCCCTTGGGACCTGGGGGTGGGCTCGTGATGCGGTGACAGGCCTTGGAGCCCCCATGCTATCGGCGGCATGCAATGTGCACCTGCGCAGCTGGTGGCTCCTGCTGCTGGTGCTGGTGCTGGTGCTGCTCCTGCTGCTTGCTGCCAGCACTTCCGGGCGACCAATGCAGGTGCATCGACTTTGCCCCGCACGTACCTCTCAGGTCTCTGCCAGGGTCCAGGTGGCGCCTGAGAGTAGCTCGGTCGCCTCGAACAGGCGCCTGGATCGGGCTGTGGGGAGACTTGTCTGGTACCAGCGGGGAACCAGGCAGTCATGCTCCAAGACACCGGACACCCCTCTTCAGGTTGGCGTTATCGGGTGGTGCGCGCGCTCGTTCTTCTGGAGGTTATCATTGCGCGATAAGCTGAGCTGGATGCGTGCGATAACAAGACGAGTCACAGGAGGTACCCACACCTCCCGTCAACACCGCCCATAATTCATCCATCACTCTACTGTATGTCGGTACCATCCATTTCCAGGCCATGGCAGGGCAGGCTGGGCTGGGCTGGGCGTGGACCCTTCGTGTTCCATCACTGTGTCCCTTATTTGAGTTCGCATAGATGGATCTCGGCTTTGCTTCTCTCACGTAAGGTAGCTTACTTTCTTCACCGAAACACCCTGGTGAAGCATCATGGTAGGAGCGTTCGTCGTCCTAGGAGACCAAAACCTTATTAAGCAGTCTGAACGCGCTGTACCGCTGTCGCCATCAGCTCGACAGTTGGCAGTATCGGTGGCCTGTCCTGGTGACGCATGACGTCTCCTTATTAACACCCCGACCGCCTACCACACACGAGCACGTAAGCGAGCCACGCGACCGATGGCGCCAGATGGCGAGTGCCGTAACTGGGTGCTCGGAAGGCGCCCAGTGATGCACTACTCATCCTTCTAGATTACGCCAGAACATCTAATGAATCGCTTTTTGGCCTCTCTCGCCTCTTTGCCATTTGTGGCAGGTACCTGAATCAACGGATCCCCATGACCTGATATTGCAAGACATGGCGCAATCACTCGGTACGGTTTGGCCAACACTTTGTGCCATTGAGTCGAATCGCTCGTCAGAAGCCTTTTCTTACCGCCCCGAAGAGGTCCCGATGAGGTCGAGTCAAGTCAAACGATCTCGGGGCATTCGATGCTTGATCACTTTCTGCAAGGCGTTCAGGCAACAAGGGCGTCCTGCAGCGACGCGCCTTGAATGGAACATCAGTGCCGAGAATGCCCACACCTGTTGCCTTGTCTGCCTGCCCGAAACATGAGTCTCTAGCGCTGATCGGCGTACCGTTCGTTCCCCTGTTTCTATTTATCCTTGTCTGCATCGAGCCTTGTACGGCAGCCGGCTATCTGCCTTGATCGCTTTCTCGCTTCAACGTTGAGATTGGGCGTCCTTTTCCTTTTTGGGCGAGACGACTTACCATCGCGAAAGCTCGTCTGCTCACTTGGCTTCAGCATTATCATTGTCAGCTCTCAAGGACTATTCGCAACACGTAGGACTCGGAGATCTGTGCAGCCCACGAAGGCGCTGCCCTGTAACAAAGTAGAAAGGCCTCGACAGAACCTGGTTCCTGGACGTCCTTGACATCACCATGCAAGCCTCATGCGCCATCTCCCCGGGGCCCCTCACCATCGCCAGCCGTCACCCGTCCAAACGACACATGTCTCAACCGCGGCGACCGGATGAGGCCAAATGATCCAAGCTTCGTCTGCCTCCTTGCTTGTCTTACCTCATCTCTCGGAAACCCAGCCACCCCCAGAGCTGTCACCCCAGGTCGTCAGGACTGGCTGGCTGGCGTTCACCATTCACAGGTGCCCATGCCGAACCGCATCCCAGAAGAGTGACCGAGCCGCTCACCAGCTGGTTGCTGCCTCTGAGGCTTCGTCCACACACCAACCAACAATCACGACAACGAACCAATCTCCCCACGCCGAGCCAACTGCACTCTCTCTCACACACACATACAGGCATACACACAACACACAACACACCACCACACGCACACCTGTCTCGCAAGCGCGATCAGTCAACCCATCTGTCCCACGCTACCACTGCCTTGTCAGATCTCCACTCCCGAGGCCCAGGGGAGGAGGGGGGGTGGGGGAGGCAGAAGGGTGGCAAGCAGAGGAGAGCGCGCGCATCTGCCGTGCGACCCTCCCTTTAAGCACACCCGGCCGTCCCGCCCACCACCAAACGGCGGCCACGCCCCCGCAGCCCTTCCTCCCCCTTGGACTACCTGTAGTAACAAGGTAGGTTGGCGAGCGAACTGCTGCCGTTGCTACTAGGTCGGATGCGACCCTCCTCCTCCTCCTGGCCCCCCTTGCACGTCAAGGTTGCCGTCTCGACGCGCGCCACGAGTTTTGTGATCAAATAAATGTATGTATGTGACAGGCGAGCAGAACCCCTTCTCCGGCAGGCTGTACGGTACAGTCGGTAGGTGCATATGCAAGCCCTCTTGAATGCCCGTGGCTGTATTCGTGACGACCGAGTCGCCCTGCTTTGCCTGGTTGGCGTCCGCTCCAACGTGGACAGCGTGGCGCGCGAGACATGATCATTGGTTCCGTGGCCGTGGGGTATGCATGCATATGCTCTTTCTGTGGCCGATCGCTGGTGGGTGGTACTCAATCCGACGTGCATTCAAATAAGGAGGTGTCTGACCTCTTTCATAACGTTCATCTATCGTGTTATCTCGCTGTTCGCTATACAACACGGGGTTGCGCAGCCAGATAGGAGGGGGGAGGCTGCCCAACTTCCCTCAAAAGACGGAGTCGGGTGATATCTTGCCCCCCCCTCCTACCCCGCGAACCACCAGCCTATACCAAAGGCGATAGGACCAATCTTTCTCTCTTTCCTCCTCTTTATTACTGCTCCAAAAGGAGGGGAGGCCTCATCAGGTTCCCGGAAGTCGCCTCAGATCCGGCCGACAGCAAGCAAAGCCGGCGTTGGCTAAAAACCAGCTACCCGAACACCCGCATTTTCCCGTTCCTTTCCCGCCCCTTTTCCTACTCCATCTCACCTTCCGAACGGCTCGTCTCAAAGGATCAGAACCCGACACACCTTATTAGACATTCTTTTGTCGTCAGGAGAGGAGCGAGGGATGGTCGGGGGTACCCGACACAGGATGACCCCGACAGAGACTGGGCTACATCGGGCGTAGGCAGGCGCGTGTTTCACAATAAAAAGACCCAGGGCCTTCTGGCGTTCGACAGCTCCCTTGAATGCTCGCCGATGGTGTGATGGCTTGCGCAGGTCACTCTCGGAGATGACGAGAGGAGGCGCAAAACGGATGATGTTGCCGTGCGTGGGCTTGGCCTGGACTCGTGTGTTAGCGTGCCATTCAGTAAAAATAGGGAGCCTCATCCAGGACAACGTACCAGCAGGCCCTTCTCTTTGAGCAGGATGCACAGGTCCCACGCCGTGCGGCCGTTGGCGGCCGACTCGTCAATGACGACAGCGTTCAGCAGACCCTTGCCGCGGACGATCTTGATGATGGGCGAGCCGAAGGCGGTGATGCCATTGCGGAAGATGTGGCCCAGCTTCTCGGCCTTGGCCGTGAGGTCCTCCTCCTCCATGATCTCGAGGGCGCGCATGGAGACGGCGCAGCCAAGGGGGTTGCCGCCGTAGGTGGAGCCGTGGGTGCCGGGCTCGACGACGAGCATGACCTCGCGGCTGGACAGGACGGCCGACACGGGATACATGCCGCCGGAGATGGCCTTGCCGAGGGTGACCATGTCGGGCTTGATCTCGGCCCACTGCGAGCAGAGCATGCGGCCGGTGCGGCCGATACCGGTCTGGATCTCGTCGCAAATGAAGAGAACGTTGTGCTTCTTGCAGAGCGCGGAGACGGCGGCGAGGTAACCCTCGTCGGGGACGACGACACCGGCCTCGCCCTGGATGGGCTCGACGATGAAGGCGGCCGTCTCCTTGCCGTGGGCCTCGAGAACCTCCTCTAGGTCGGCAATGTTGTTGTAGCGGATGGGCTTGCCGGTGGAGGGGCTGAAGGCTCCGATGCCGGGGACGTAGGGGCCGTAGTTGTCGCGGGACTCGGGGTCGGTGGACAGGGAGATGGCGGTCATGGTGCGGCCGTGGAAGTTGTCCTCGACGGAGAAGACGAGCGCCTTGTCCTTCTCGACGCCCTTGACCTTGTAGGCCCACTTGCGGGCAATCTTGATGGCCGTCTCGACGGCCTCGGCGCCCGTGTTCATGGGCAGGACCATGTCGTAGCCGAAGACGTCACGGACCTTCTCGGCCCAGCGGGGGAAGACATCGTTGTAGAAGGCACGCGACGAGAGGGTCAGGCGGCCGGCCTGGTCGGCGAGGGCCTTGACGAGCTCGGGGTGGCAGTGGCCCTGGTTGACGGCGGAGTAGGCAGAGAGGAAGTCGAGGTACTGGCGGCCCTCGGGGTCCCAGACGTGCACGCCGCTGCCGCGCGCAAAGACGACAGGCAGAGGGTGGTAGTTGTGCGCAGCGTACTCCTCCTCCGTCTTGATGGCGCCGTCGGTAGAGGCAGCATGGTACTTGGAGGGGGTGGCAGCAAAGGTGCCAGAAGGGCTGTCGGCGTGGGGGGCCATTGTGTGAGAGGGGAGGAGATGTAGATGGGGAATTGAAAAATTGTGGGAGGTGTGATGTCAATCAGACAAATGCAGTGGTGATCGTTAGGGTCGCAGGCTTGTTTCTTGCTCGTCAGATCAAGGTATCATGTGAGGTTGAGGAACGGAAATGCACAGGGATATCCAAAGCAAGAAGAGAGGTGTTGAGAGTAGAGAACAAGAAAGGAGGGGCAAAATCGCGGGGTGGTCTTTCTAGAAGGGAGGGGTGGCCTAGATATACCCTGTTTTTCTTGAGAAGCAATGAACCACTGGTCTACGGGGCTGACACTATGATTGAAAACAGACTGGAACCTCTTGGAACGTTTTTTCAGGGCGCGCAAGAGGGAAAAAACCCCAAACATGACCAGATCATTGTTGCGCCTGGGAACGGACGATTTGGCAGGACGCTCCACCGTGATACCCCTATGCGCAGGTTTACGCGGAGGAGCGGGCGAGCATGACACAGAGGTACCGGCGGGCTGGTCACATGGGCGGTGGGCATTGGCGGGACGTGTTGGATGGGCATGGGGCGGGGCGGCCGAGGGAAAGCGGGAGATGGTCGCAGCTGATAGTTCCAACGACGACGATAGGGTGAAGATGCTAGCAGGAGGTACGAGAAGGGCTCTTGGCTCCATTGTCGGCCAGATCGTCCGGATTGGGGAGGAGGGATGGAGGGCGGGCGAGAGCCAATGGGAGGCCAGTTGATTGTGTCTTAAGCCGACTGGGTGGTCCAATGGCGGGAGGTGGAGCAGGCCCCCGCCCTGAGACTCAGCGGCTACAAGCGCTACACCGAGAGCCCTGAGCCCCCCTTGAGGACCTGTGGCGAGGATACGTTTAGCAGGTGAGGCCACCGTCGCTCAGGGGGCAGATCTGGGGGCTCCAGGGGGGGGGGAAGGAGCTCCTTCCTCTCAATTCCATTCTGGCCCATGGTCAAGACACATTTCAGAAACCACAACACCACAGGCCAAGCATCACAGTCTCGCCCATTCTGACGAGACGCGCAGGTCGGCCATGGCTTCCGTCAGCTCCCGGCGTACGCCCTCGCACAAGGAGAGGCAGACGCACAAGAGACAGGAAAAGCAGGAAAAACAGAAACAGGAACAGGCCCAGGCCGGCCACGCCGCGTCCGATCCCGACTCCGATTCCGACCCCCAACTCCTAATGGAAGCTCGAAACGAGCAGAACAGGACCGCCGTGCTTCTCCGCCTCCTCGTCATCCGCGCCTTCAACGCTTACTGGGTCACCACCTTCTTTCAGCCTGATGAGTACTTCCAGGCCCTCGAGCCTGCCTGGCAGATGGCCTTCGGCCCAGGCGCCGGCGCCTGGCTGACCTGGGAGTGGCAGCACCAGCTTCGCTCCTCGCTGCATCCCGCCCTCTTCGCCGCCGCCTACTGGCTGGCCGATCAAGGCGCCCGGCTTCTGCCCGTCTGGCTCGACGCCCGCCCCATTCTTCTGGCCGCCGCTCCGAAGGCTGCCCAGGCTGCCTTTGCCGCCGCCGGCGACTGGTGCACATGGCAGCTGGCCGTCCGTCTGTTCGGACCCGACACGAGTGCCTCCTGGTTTGCCGTAGGTTCTTGTTCTCTCATACAATGACGTGTCTCATGGACTGAGATGGACCATGGAATGGATCTCATGAAATGAGATGGACCAAGCTGACAGATGCAGCTATTCATGAGCATGTGCAACCCCTTCCATTGGTACTGCTCGACACGCACCTTTTCCAACTCTCTCGAGACAACGCTCACCGTTGCGGCCCTCAACTACTGGCCCTGGGAATTGTTTGCGGAGCATGAGTCGGTCAAAGAGAACCCCAAAGGTCCTTCAACCATGCTCAAGAGTGTCAATGGTCTCCGCCTCTCGCTCGTTCTCGCCGCCATCGCCGTGACGCTGCGTCCCACCAACATCATCATCTGGCTCACCGTCATCATCACCACATTCGCTACAACTCTTTTTAACCCCAAATCCGTCGTCACGTCGAGCATCTATGCTGTCGTCATTCGCGAAATTATTCTTTGCGGTGCGCTTGTCCTTGGCTTGTCTCTCGTCTCGGATCGCCTCTGGTTTGGCCAGTGGACGCTGCCTGCCTACAAGTGGCTTTACTTCAACATCTCACAATCCCTCGCCGTCTTCTATGGCCGCAATGACTGGCATTACTACCTGTCTCAAGGCATCCCTCTCCTTGCGACAACCTTCCTCCCCTTCGCCCTTGCCGCCCTCTACAAGGTCCCCTCTACAGGCCTCCGTGTCACAGACCTCACTCTCCGCACGCTTGCCGCCTCCGTCTATGCCATGATCGCCACCCTCTCCCTCATCTCACACAAGGAGGTCCGCTTCATCTACCCTCTGCTACCAATGTTGCACGTCCTTGCCGCACCTCTCGTATCCTCCTTCTTCACAAAACCCGCCCCCGCGCCGACGAAGGAAAAACCGCTGCCCCGCCCGACTCTCGCCCGAAGACCCCTCGTGTACATAGGCCTCCTGCTCAACGCCACACTCGCAGGCTACCTTTCCATCTTTCACCAGCCCGCTCCGCTGCAGGTCCTCGATCTGTTGCGTGCCGATTTCGAGCGCGTCCACCCCGGCCCAGCCTCCCTCCTGCCACCCTTTCCAAAAGTCCTTCCTGCCGAGGCAGAGGCAGACCCGCTGTACGCGCTCTTCCTCACGCCGTGCCATTCGACCCCGTGGCGCGCCCACCTCGTTCACCCCGCCCTTCGCGCCCGCGCCTTGACGTGCGAGCCGCCGCTGCACACGGCGCCCGACTCCCCCGAGCGCCTCTCTTACCGCGACGAGGCCGATCGCTTCTACGACGATCCCATCGGCTTCCTCGGCCGCGAGCTGTGGCCCACAGAGGGCGAGGCATCACCCGTCCCGCGCTACATCATTGGCTTTGAGGGCATAGAACCATGGATCACCGACTTCTTCGCCGCCAACGAGCACCTCGACGTCCACCCGCGGCGCGTCTGGTCGGCCTGGAAACGGTCTCTTCAGCGAGACTGCGCCGCGCTGGGCGTCTCGTGGTCTGGCAGACGAGGCCCGTGAAGAGGGCCCCTCCGCCCGTCAAGGAGACGTAACACGATGAGCGTCATGTATGCATAGCTACTTGTTTGTATGATACTTCGCACGTCATATATACCATGTACGATATTTCGGCAAAATTTAACCATGAACACTTCGTTCAGTATTTCAATCATTAGTTCAGATGCATGCACTCCCATATCGCGAGACGAACCATCACACACAAGGCAGCAGGCAGGTAAAGGCATCGTATCATCCCCGCTATATTCAGATGGAGGTGTTCTCCATATCACATCATCTTCGCCCCGCCGACGGCGCATCCGACCTCCAGTCCACGACGGGGGCAGACAGACAGGGAGGAGAACAGGCCAGACTCAACCTCCCAAGAAAAAAAAAAAGAGTACATACATGGTATCAAAGGGAGGCAAACAGGGTTCATCAGCCTCCAAAATGAGAAGAACAGCAGACCCAAGCACGCGGGGGAGGCAAAGAGCAACTCCATCCACGTGAAGAGCGGAAATCATTTGAACGGCAAAACGATAACGAAGAGACGACTCCGCACATTATAAGTAGTCCGTTTTCCCCCTTTTGCCCCCCCTTTCCCCCTCCCCCGTCGCTACGTAAGGAGGAAAACTGGAAGGGGAGTGACAAAAAAGCACACAAGAAGCCTACATCAAGTCCCGTGGTTTCCATGAAATCAGCTTCGAGATCTGCCTCGACCCGGATAGACGAGGTCAAGAAGGAGCAGAGGAAAAGGAACAAGTAGAACAAGAAGAATAAAAATCGTATTAAAGGGTGGGAAGGGGGAGCAGGAGGGAAAGGTGGGCAGTACATCCCCCTTGGCTGTCATGCTGCAGATCTCCCGCGTCCCGGCAGCGCTGATCACCTGCAGCTGGTGCACGCCTTTCAGGCCAAAACGATCGATGCCATGTTATCTCATTACAGTATACCCACTCTACTTGGTGCTCTCCTCTGGCTCTTCGACCGTTGTGGGCAAAGTCACAGGGAACGGAGCTGTGGAAGGCGACGGCTGTTGCTGGACCGGGGGCTGCGGCTGAGGCTGCGGCTGTGGTGGCGGCTGGGCCGGCTCTGTTGGCTGTTCCGCGGGTGGTTGCACTGGTTGTTGGGCCGGCTGTTGGGCCGGCGTCAGTTGCTGCTGGTCGACCGGCGGCTGCGACGGAGCTGACGGTGGCTGCTGGGTGATAGGTGGCTGAGGAGCCGCTTGCTGAGGAGCTGTGTGCTGGGACGTTGACTGTGGAAGAGTCGCCTGTTGAGCTACCGGCTGCGGCTGAGACTGGGTCGTCGACTGCGACGTCGTTGCGGGCTGCTGAGGAGCTTGGGGAACCGACTGGCTCGGTGTAGATCGCGGCTCTTCTCTTCGGATATCCAGGCTCTTCCCTCGACTCGGCAGTATGGCGGCGCTCAGTCCACCGGGTTGCCGCGTATCCGCTGGAGGGGACTTATTCCTCCTTTGTTCGGCGTTCTCCTTGGCCTCCCTGTACTTGTTTCGAATCCAGCCAATCGGCCCCTTGGGCTCGTCACGCCCACTGTCTTGCGCGTCCCTCTCCTGGTTGAGTGAGTCCAGGCTGAAGACTTCTGGACCAGACGAGACGTCGGTGCCCTCTGCCGTGAAGCTCTTTCGTGGTCTGTTGCTGGAGCTGCCGATTGATGTCGCGCTCCTCTCAGCACGATCATTAGAGCCCAAGCCTAGCCGCGGCGAGGTCACTCCTGGAGGCGAAGGTCCGGACTCATCTTTCCTGCTGCGGGACAGCCTCCATCGCCGTTTCTTCTCCTTGATGCTATCGGCTGCCTCTGCCGTTGAGATGCTCACAGGTTCATCCAGTTGGTCCATGTCCGAGCCTTCGTTGAAAGAGGAGTGAAGAGAGGCTGGCGGCGATTTATTTGCCTTGAGATTAGTTTCGGGATAATGCGAAGTGTGGTGCGGGGCGTGGGAACCACGAGCTGTCAATTCCGCTGCTTGGGCTTCAGCGGCCACCGGCGCCGGGGCAGGTGGTGGGCTGTTCTCGGGGATGGTGAATGGAGCATTGTCCATGGGGTTGCTCGCCTCGACGCTCGGTGAGGGGGCCGCCGAGTGCGCTCCCTGAAGAGAGGTGGTAGAGCTTGCCGCACTAGGGTTCACACTGCCTGGTATCCTCTTCTTCTTCAGCTTGTTCGGTTGTCTGCGCTCGGTCTCGCCCGAGGGCGATCTCTGGAAGATGCTCTGCAAGTTTCTTTCCCTAGTGGGAGTTCCTTCTTGAGGCAGCTCGAGGAGCCTTTCTTGACTCCTGCCTGCGCCACTCACAGACCCAGGTGCGAGGGTGGCCGCACCCACTGGAGGTGCAAGACTGGATGGAGCAGTGGACCTGGACGGGCTTGGCTGCTCATTCGGCGTTGCTGGCGTTATATGTTCTGTCAAGGCTGGGCCTGTGGGTGATGTGAGGGGCGAAATGTTGTCTTTGCGGAATCTGCCAGCGGGCAGGTGCGGTGACTTTTTCGATGGCACGGTGTTGCTTCTACCAAGACCGCTCGAAGGAGTGGCAACCAGGCCAGGACTGTTGGGCGTGACGGCTCCGTCGTGCCGTGAATGGCGCGAGGATGTAGACTGATGACGCCGGAGCTTTCCGTCTCTTCGAACGCTGTCGGCGCCAGCGCTTGCGTTCGACGCAGAACGGCCGAGGGTCGATCGTCTGTTGGGCGTAGGCGTCGTCGGGCCACTGATCGGCGGTGTGCCTTTTTCGATCTCCTGCTTCGTCTTCTCATCCGTCGCGGTTCCTTGCATGCCGATCAAGAAATGATCCTGGTTCTCGATCAGGAAGATGATGACACATTGATTAAGTCGGTATTCCTCAGGAGCCATCGCGTGGTCAGGATGAGACAGCATGCCGGGTTGGAAAATGGCGGCGAGATTCTGGGAGTTCATCCTGTTCTCGTCTGACTTGGCAGCAAAGACGGCGAGCAGATCCAGAATGTACAGCAGTAGCTGACGATTCAACGGAGGTAGCTCGGTGATGAGTTGCTGGTATTTAATGATGGCACCTTGCTCGTCGAAATTGTCGATGAGCTGTGGTCCCTCTGCGTCGCCGACAGCTTGTTTCGTAGCGCCTTTCAAGGGTTCCCGGAACTTTTCGTAGAGATCGAGAGGCACAACCGGCTCAGGCAGGTCGTTGAGGTATCGTCGCAGGACGTTTGCAGCATCGTGCACGGTGTAGCCGTCCCAGTCCAAGCCCTTGCCGTATCGATCTGGTGAGTCGAATATGGTTTTCAGCTCCTTGATGCGCTTCTCCGAGCCGCTGAGACGAAAGATGCCCTCGATGCCGGTTGCTGGAGGCCAGGGTCAGCACCAAGACGAATGGTGAACAGCTTCTACAGCTCAACTCACCCTTTTCCTTCAGGTATACACCACACTTGGCTACTACAATGGGGACATAGCCGTAGATGTAGCTTTGTCCATTCTCGTCGATCAGGGAAATGGCAACATTTGCGTAGGTGATACTCTGTCGGAGGGGCACGCCAAAGATGCCGGGGGATCGGGTATCTGTAGAAGCTTCTTTAGTCTTGGTCTTGACTGTTGGAATTGCGTGGGCTGGGCGTGAAGCGTGTAGGCGACGGTGAAAGAATGAAGGGGAGGGGTCGGGGACTTTGTCTGCAGGTGCAGGATTCAGATGCCAGACAGCCGGCGCTTCACTAGAAACAACAGAGGCTTTCGCCGTGACATGGGCATCCTGCATCTGCAAAACATGAGCTAGCGGGTGCAGGGCGGTATCGACTCGGTCTTGAACGTCTTCACTGAAGACTGGCTGCTGTATTCTGTGTGGGACTTGGGATACGCGACTGGAGTGAGTCGTACCCTGGGATTCCTGGTGCTTCGACGGTAGTTTGAAGCCTTTCCACCACGATCGCAGATCTCGTTTGCTCGGGGGCGAGGTTGCATTCGCGGCCCCAGGGTGGGAGCCAGACGCGGCTGACATGGCAGCGACGGCGCGAGGGGCGTCGAAGCTCAATTCGCGAGTCGCGCCAGAGTCGGTCGTTCGAGTCGCGGCGCGATAGACGGTGCGAGAAGGTGAGCAACGGAGGTTGCTGGGCACGTCGAGTCGGTCGATGTTATTGTCGGGGGGTGGTGAGGATGCAGTGGGATCGTGAGATTAGGGCCCGTCGCATGTGTCGAAAGGGGGGGGGGGGGCAGGCAGGAGGAGGAGGAGGAGGAGGAGGAGGATATGCAGTGTCGGGTGCCAATGCGCAAAGGTGCGACACGGCCAGGGTTTGGTCGCGAGGCTTGCTGCAGTGGCGCGGTTGGCTTCCTCTGTCGAGCAAATGGATGGATGGCTTATCAGGGAGAAGCAGGACAGTTGGTCTGCGTAGCTGCGTGTGTGTCTCTGACGGCGTTGTGTCGAGCTGGGTGGTTCAGGTCGTCGGCGAAACAATGATGGGAAGGATGAAGGGATTGTTTGCCAGGTCCGGAGGCGGCCAGCGGGCCAGAAGGCGAGCGAGTGGGTGATGCAGTCAGTCAGGCCTGTCTCGTCAGGTCGAATTCGGAGGAGCTGTGGGATGGGATGGGAACCAAGTGGGAACGAGCCACGAGCCGGCGCTAGGTATCTTAGGTAGGTACCTAGGCACTGTACCAAGTAGGTACCTTGGGCAGGGGTGGATGCGGAGGAGAGTGAACAGCGAGAGAGGGAGAGCGAGAGAGAGAGGGGCAGCACAGCGCATAGCGCACAGCGCGATCAGCGGCTCTGTGGGTTGGTACTATGTAGGTAGGCCGTGGCTGGGCTTTGACTGGGCTGACAGGGCGGCTCTTGGAACGAATACCCAATGCAGGATCGCGCCGTATCGTTTCGTTTCGCTCGTGGTCACGCCTTTTGGATCGGTTAGACCAAAATGGGGGAGGGAAAAAAGAGAATTCGTGGTGGATGACAAGCGACACACAGGCGGCAGGTGTGCTGTGCAGCCGCCTGTGCTGTTGGCTTGGTATTGAAGGACGGCCTGCCTGTCTGCTGCCTGCCTGCTGGTTTGCTGGCTTTGTTGTTGATATTGGCGGCGCAGGGTGCAATTTCGATTACTCCATCCTTCGCGGGGAGCCCTGGATCGAGAAACCAGTTGTGGTGGATGGGGGTGATGTTCCAGGCCTCCGTGTCCAAGCACCCGCGTCCAGCGTCCAGCGTCCAAGAACCAGGGGGGGGGGCTCCGCAGTGCCGCCTCAGGACAGCAACCCAAGTCGTCCGTCGAGTCAAGCTAGCCGTCGTCAGCGGTGCGATGCAGCGTAGCTGGGGTCAGGCCTGTCGCCGGTGGATATGACGAAACTGAGAGATGCTGCTCGCAGGGGGGGAGGGAGAGGAAGGAGGGGGCACCATCAACAATGATGGACAACAGATGGTACTTGGAGGAGACACCTGAACGGATCCGAGATTCCTCTATTGGGCAGTGGCAAAGACTCATGGAACGAAACTGGGAAGAAATCCACAGTCACAATGGAGATGGAGATGGCTGTGTTGCAAAAGTAACATGCACAACAAAGGTGGGTGCAGAAGGGGAATCCATCCTGCCATCCATATCAGACATGGCGGTTTTGCCGGGCCCGAAGCATTGGAGTGCCTACTTTTAGTGCCCTCCAGCACACCAGTGCCTGATCTGAGGTACCAGTCTAGGTGGAAACCCCCAGTACGTGGTGCCGTCAGCAAGCAGTCCAGTACCTATACCATGTAAGTGCAGTACTTTGGGTGCCTGTGGTGTGCGTGTGGGTACGGATGTGGGTGTGGCTAATGCAATGGGGGCTGAAATGCCTCCAGCACAACTCGTTGCAGGCACCAAAATAAAGAGCCAAGGTGGCAGCCACTCCCACCTTTCTTTGGACTTTTGGTCTCTCACTGGTGATGAGATGAGATGAGATGAGACGAGATGAGCCTGAATTCTTGGTCAGAGCCGAGGTCCTCCACATCCATGGCACTGGGCACCGTCAAACTCGTATCATCACCAAAGTTCTGGCTGCCTGGCTGCCAACCGGCCTCTCGCCAAAGTCGAACAACAAGCTCGGCTGACGAGCTCGGCCTGCTTTTGATGTTGGTTTGTGTGGTAACACGAGACGCACGCCTGGCCCGGGACTTTTCATTTCCTGCCATTTTTCCGACTGCCTGCATCTGCATCAGTGCAACTCGGTCCATCCTCCGAACGAGGAGCGTCAGCCGGAAAATCCTTGGTTCCATTCGACTCGCGACAAATGGCATATAGCGCAAGCGACGAACGAGCTGGACGTGGTGGTCTGGTGTGCTAAATATAAGCTTCCCGCCGTGCCGCTGCATCGCGCCTCGTTGTGCATGCGCCGAGTGCCAGAACCTGCACTATTGACCTGGTGCCACAGAGTCATCCCGTGCTACCACGTCGCCTCGCAGGGCGTGTCTGCTGCTGCTGCTCGTCGTATAGCTCTCGCCGTCTCTGCCCTGTCAGGCTCGGCCCATCACGAGATGGGATGTGTAGGCCCTTATCCGCCTGCATTCGGTACCAGCTGAAGGGCCGCGCGCCCATCTCACGGTCTGTCTATCTAACTGCCAGGCTGCAACCGGGAGAGACAACAACACAAAAAAAAAAGACTCTTGGCTGGAGGAGGACCCGCCCGGACCAGTATCTGCTGGGTAGCGGGCTGCTACCTCCTACCACCTGCTCGCCAGGGATATACAGTATTCGCTCAGGCATCAGATCTTGCGAACATGATCTGTCGTCACAAGCGCTTCGGATGCGAGTGGAGCGATGTGACAGATCTTGTCGGCCCTGGAACCCCAGCCTTTCCAAACACGATGACGTCGTCACGGCTTTCGCGCGCATGTAACTCTCATTTCCATGCGGTCGGCGGGGGATTCGCGGTCCAGGTCGGTCTTCCACGCTCTGCTCGTCATTTCAGGTGATGAAGACCGAGACCCAACGTAGAACGCAGTCTTCTGTATGAAGAGGGGCCGCGCCCCATCTGCGGACCTGAAGCTAGACGTGATCTACACTCTGCGGAAAGGAGGGAGCCTCAAAATATGCCGCCTTACCCATTGGAGCTTGTTCTATTGACATCACTGACTCCGCATTTGGACCGGCAGCATTCCGACAGAGCTCTGTTTTTCCAACCTGCAAGGATGTGGAACATGTCGCCCTTGGGCTAGAGACGACGAGCTAGCCTTCAAGACAGCATCGCAGTACGCAATCCTCGGTGGCCAGTCATGCTTAGGGTTACTCCGGTTGATTGGTCTGCTGTCAAGCCCATTCACTGTGGCGCCCCTCCTCGGTGACTTTGCATCTTAAAAAAAGCATTCGGGGTGAGCTTCAGACAGTGATGCCTACCAATGAACCGAGACTGCGTATACGGTATCTCGTCATGGATGTCCGGATGGCATCTCATTGGAAGCAGTCGCCTGTCCAACTCTGAAAGCTCCACGAGAAGCTCGATCACGAGTTGCTTCTTATCGAATCAAGGCGGACAAGGTGCAGGCTCTGGCTTCTGTCGCGCGGGTCCGGGCCAATTTCCGAACCTACGAGCGACTCAAGACGGCAACTACCGCACGCACATTCATTGAAATGCAGGGCCATTTCGCGTGGCACTGCTTTCGTCTGTTTAACTCGCTTAGGTCGTGGCCAACTCGGTGCTCTGTCGGTCCAAACATGTGGTCCCTTGTGGCTGGTATTGAGATGCGTTCTCAGAACGGCATCAGGCCCTCTTCTCTGGCGAGATCACGCTTGCTGCTTATGCTACAGTACCTAACAACTGGTGCTGGTCGCTGCTACATTTGGTGGTGTACGTGTTTCGGTATCGGCGTTGAATAGCTGAAAGGTGTCACGCTGAGAGTCAGTCCCTAGGTAGGTACTGTAAGCAATTTCAAGAGGCTTATGAAAAACGCGTCAAACCAAGCCCCATGCAACGTGGCAACCACAGGATGTGTCACAAGTCATCAGAAGAAGCACCTGCCTTGAGCCGTGATACACGACAGAGAGCCGTAGTCGATAAGCAGCAGTGGATTGGCCATGGGCACATGGGCGAAGGTTTGGCGGAGAGCGGGGCTTCGACCCAAAAGCCCAGTCAAGTGCCACCTGGCTTGTGCTCTAGTATGTCTCGCAGGGGTAGCTTCAGCCACGGTGGCTCGAGCGACGACATCATCCTGACAAAGTGCCGTTTGAAGCCCACGACAGCCCTCCCTAAGGTACGACGACGACGGCGACGACCCTACCAGATCGACAACGAGTTTGCACATATTTGCACATACTTCTGAGTTTTGCTTCCAGAATGGCTCGACTCTCCCACGCACTGGGCGTCACGCCAGTCGCAACGCCCGAACGAGGCACTGCCGAACTAGCACAGCTCCTCTCCCGACTCGAACACACGATCCTCCGTGCAGACCAGGCGCGCGAACGAAGACTGCGGTCAAGCGAGTTTGAGAGAGCGCGCATCAACTCGGTAAGAAGTTTTCATTTCGCAGCCATGCGTCGATGTGACAAGTCGTCTAACCTGGTCATCGTAGAACCTGGACTACGCGAGGAGTCTCCTCACAAGACTGGAGCAGGAAGCGATGGGACTGAAGTTTCAGGCACGGAAAGCAGAGCTGCAGACCGACCTGAACGTTAAGAGGGAACTTTTGGAGAAGCTTGTGGATCGTATGCATGATCTGGGACAGGTGCGCACGCAGTCTGAACTCGAGATCAAGGCCCCCGGCTGATGCTTTCGACAGTTACATGACGACGATGGCGACAGTTCTGAAGGAGAAGATTACCTGAGCGAAATCATACCCACACCGAGCGAGAGCATGGACTCGCAGTCGACAGACATACCGACCGAGGGGACAGAGGATGCCGAGGCATCAGATCCAGAACCTGAGATACCAGATCTGCCGCCGCCAGTTGCCTCACAGACGACCCAGCGAGAAGGCAGCGCGGAACAGCCCAAAGCCACGGCGCGGGATCCGGAGCATGCGTCTCCAGAAGCCTCCTCAGTACCCGCGACAACGACAACCCAGACGCTCCGTGCGAGGGGGCCCCAGCCGTCGTCAGCACAGGATACTGCAGCCACGACGGCGCGCGCAGCCCTCTTCGCCAACCGGCGCACCACTACCGGCCTGTCTACGAAGACGGGCTCCTCGACGGCCACCGCCGAGGCCATCCTCGACCACCAGCGTGCCGAGCAAGACGCTCTGTCCGGCTCCATCTTGAAGATGGCCAGTGCGCTCAAGGCGTCATCACAACGGTTCTCTACGACGCTCGAAGAGGACAAGGCCTTGCTGAGCCGCGCAGGAGAGGGCATGGATCGGACGGAAAAGGGCATGGATGCCGCTAGCCGACGTATGGGCGCACTGAAGCGCATGACGGAGGGAAAGGGGTGGTACGGCAGGATGATTCTCTACGCCTGGGTGTATGGGCTCATGGTTGCGTTGGTGCTACTGGTGTTCGTCATGCCGAAGCTGCGCTTCTGATCAATGAGGTCGTAAACATGGGATGGTAACGAGCAAGGCGCATTCTGGGAAACACCTCAAGTGGTGGAAGAATTCATGTCCCAAGGTATTAACGATCCTATCAGCGAGAATGCTCGCCAAGCTATTAAACTTAGCTAACGCAGAAGCATGAGAAACATTTGTTTCTGGGTATCTTCTTCATGAATGCCTTGAATCGTCTTCCTGATACCCTTGCAAACCCGGATGCCATGCCTTGCTATTCATAAGAGCAACCATTTCCCCCCTGGTTATCTCGTGACCCATCCGTAGCGTTGTTAGACGCACTCATGCGAAGCAACCTGAATCAAATGCAATGACTACCGAGCGAATCATGCAAATCGTAACAGCGCTTGCCTCGCTATTTGCAGGCGAAGCCAAAACGTGCCTTGTGTAGCGCAAATTCAGTTCGTCTTCGGCTTGAAGTGGGCCGAGACATCGGGGTACAGATTTGATGATTGAAACATCGACTCCTCTTCAGCGAACGGTGCAAAGCACGCTTCGGTCCGGGGCGCGCTCTGCCAATACTGATGCAGGCTGCTGGCTTCGTCGGCAGGAGAGATGTGTGTCTGCATGGCAGTGTTCGGTCCCTGGGAGAGCACGTAGTCGTCCTCTGCCGAGGACTCATTGTTCGAAAGAGCCATGCTGATGCCACTGCGGTGTTCGCCGGCCTTTCGGTCCATAAAGCAGTGCACTTCGATTCCGCTGCTGCCACGAGCCGCAGTTCTGGCGGACATAACCGCGAAGCTCGGGGCTCGAGTGTCAAAGTCCTCGACGGGTTCGTTCGTGTGGGCAGGGTCATCCTCGGGGCTGGCAGGGTCATGGCCAGCAGGCCAAGGGCGCTCGCCGTGCATTTCAGTCATGAGGTCGGTGCCGTCGTCGAACTTGCTGACGCCAAACATCTCATCAACCATACCCGACACGTCATCCAGGCTCAATCCCATGCTGATAGCCTTGCTGCTGGGGATTTTGCCTCCAGGCTGTGGGATGGGCTGGCTGAAAATATGGGCGACTTGCTCTTCGCTCAGAGGCCGCAAGGTGCCCTCCTGCGTAATCTCAGCACCTGCGGTTTCTCGCATCGCCTTTGTGATATGACGAGCCTCGGACTTGTGTTTCGCGGCTTTTTTGACCCGCTTGGTGACCACCCTGACCTCACCTGCGCCCATGAAGGTGCCAGCACTCTCGGGAGTGCGAAAGGCAGCCATTTCCTTGTCGGTGTCTCTCTTGCGCTTCTGCGACCAGGTCATGTGCTCGAAAGCCTCTCTGATTCTAGCTCTGTCGCAGGGCTGCAATTTTACTCGGCTCAGAGGGTTCTCCTCGACTTCATCGGTAGGAATCTCGAGAAAGTCTGGCTCAACAATCGTGTGGCTTTTCACCGGCTCCTGGTCCTGAGAGAAGTCACGAGCCTTGACCTGTTCGATGGGTAAGTCATCAAGTTCGCCGATGATACGAGCAAAGTCGGTTTTGCTCAGGATATCCCGGACTCCTTGGCTGGCATTGGCAGCCTTGAGCAGCACGTCAATTGCTTTGCTCTTGTCAGAGGCAGCCCGTTTTCTGCCAGAGGCATGACCCTCGGGGTCGACTCCGGCATTTTTGTTGACTATTTCAGAAACCGACTGGCCTTCTTCACCCCTGGCGTCTTTGGCGGCCTGGTCGATAGACTCTTGAATCAGTTGCGCCTGAGCAGCGTCCGTCCCGGCAGCGACCTCGTCGAAAGTGGGCATACTGAGGCTCCTGAAATTCTCAACCGGACTGAAAGGGCTATGAGTAGCTAAGTTCTTGTCAGACAAGGGTTGATCAGGCTGGAATAGAAGCGTATTTCCGGGCTGAGGTATCTCAAGCTTCGTCTTGTCTGGCGAACGGGCTTCATTATGGTCGCCGCTGTATGTGCTCTGATGGTGTTGGGCCACAGAATAAAGAGTTCGGTCCAAACCTTCTTCGATGCCTTTGTCTTTGAGCAGCTCAAGCAACTCCTGTTCGGCGGCGTCTTGATTCGTGATTCCCACATATGTCGCGTCGCTGGTGTTGTGGTTGCTATTGTGCTCACACTCCTGAGCAGGATCTTGAGTCTTTGGGCCCTCCATCGTGGAAGGGTTATCGTCGCTGTTTATTTGCGTGTCGCCAAATAAATCGTGGTGCATCTGTCGTAGTCGACGATTCAGCTCAAGGCACTCTTCAAGTGTTTTTCCTCTTGTCAGCCCTTTACCAACGGGCTTGCCTCCAGTCTATCACTACTATTAGCCACTAATAAAATGTGATGAATGTCGGTGAAGAATCAACATGTCATGACTTACGGGTGGTGTGTACTGGAAATAGGTACGTTCGGTCGTGCCTGCCTTGGTGATACGCTCGTGCCAGGCAATGCCAGTCTTGAGCCTGAAGAAGTCTTTGAACTTGTCGAATTCAGTGTAAAAGGGGCGGGAACAGGGCGACGGTCGGTTGATGGCCTTCAACAACCATCTCTTTCCGTCGTCCTTCTTGTAGTACTTGACACCAAACCAGTAGAGAGTTGGTTTGGCAAAAGACTGGAAGAGCTAGTGGTGTTGTCAGTCGAAAATCACCCGCGTTTTTGTCGCGACTATTGTGAGATCGAAGGAAACACCGTCCGTCGAAGACGCGTCGCGTTGCTCAGTTAGGCAGTGAATTGGGACTTACATAGAGGACGTATTTCTCCTCGCACGTGCCAAAATTGTCTGTGAAGATGCGGAAGAGCTCAACCTGGTACTCGAAGGGACAAACATCCGCAAAGACTCGATATAGATCTGATGCATCGGTCAACCAGGTGCTCGCCGCCGTGTCTTCATTGCTCCTCCCCCTCTGTAAATAACCTACCTGGATTGATCCAATGCTCACCGATTGCCAGGTTTCTCTGAGACCTGGCTTTGGCGAGTTGCTTTCTTCGCTTAGCTCTCTCCTCTGCAAGTAGGTTGTCGAAGTAGTACTCCTTCTCCGGAAGCTTCTTGTTACGGTTGCACGAGAATTCGAACCAGTCGTAATGCACAACGCGGATGCGACTACCTTTTTGCTGGGCCTCTTTAACTGTTGTGACAGAGTCAGTATCAACGTCTGCTTTACTATTGGCCTCGAAACAGCATATTTTGAGAGGAAATATCCGGTTGAAGCCGAATTGAACCCACTTCTCTTGATCTTCTTCCGTGCCTTGTATTGCTCATCCGTGCAAAGTAGATGAGTGACAGATTGATCCATGTCCTTTACGAACTGACCCTTGCGTTGCTTGATCCACATGGCTAGATTCTCCTCTGTAAATTGGCCTGGTAGGGGCCCTGCTGTTGCCAGCACCATGTTCTTGAATATCGCAGGCGCCATGGCTGCCAATGATAAGAAAGGTCCTCAACAGGCAGGTGTTGCAGTGCCTGATGCTCGCATTAGGTAGCTTAGTAAATTATAAGAAAGAGGCGCAGATCGAGGGGCCAACTGCATGAGACGATTCCAGCATACAAACTGCTGGGGGAAGATCTGTTCGTTGTGTTCGTGTTTAGATGAATGCTGGATAGATTGTATGAAAGGTGAACTGGTGCACAAGTGGATAGCTTCTCCCGAGATTTGAGCTAGCTGTAGGCGAAGAACCTTTGCTGAAACTTATATCTTCAAGAAGAAACTCTGATTCATCCCCGCAAATGAACTTCCTAGTCCTTGGCGGAAGAGGTTGTGAGAGCCAGAGGTGAAGACCTGCTCCTGCTTTCAGGGAAATGCCCAAAACGAAACAGAACCGTGGCTCCTGACTGAAATAACAAGGTGCTCACGGGGTTTGTTCAAAGTTCGTATCAACCAATCCTGAAGGAACGACAACAGAAGAGCGTACGCTTGTTTGGCAGCACTTTCCAGGAGACAATGATGCAAAGGCCTCCAGAGACCACATCTAGGTAGTTCATGAAATCCTTGTCACAGGCGTTGACCACAACTAAATCGACAGGCTCTTGTTTTCCTAGACATGGGTTGGGTGCAATCTATCGTATCTACGCAACTACATGACAACTTTTGGCAGCCTTGATGAACGCTCTGATTTTTTCCAAGCTCTGCTTGCCATCCTGTTCAACGCCACTGCTCACATCAACGCCGATGACCTGGCTGGCATACTTTCCCAGGGCCCGTACAGCATCAACCACATTGTCAGGGTTAAGGCCGCCAGCCAACATGATCCGCAGCTCAGGGTCCTGAGCTAGCGTGGCAGTCACACTCGAGAAGTCTAGGAGCTTGCCAGAGCCGGCGCCGGAGTCGAGAAGAGGGACCGTGTGATAGCCACGGCGGCCAATTCCGACCTGGCCAGGCTTGAAGGCGCGAATGACAGGCACTGGAATAAGGCTCGCCCACTCAATAGGCTCATCACCGTGAAGCTGCACGATGTCGAGGTTGAAGAGCTTTTGCTTGTGGAGCACCTCATCAAGGGGCTGATTCTGGAAGATACCGGCCAGGAGTGTTCTTGAACCAGACAACCGTGTCTTAGCCGAGCTGAAAAAGTCTGTCGCGACTTTGCCTGCTGCCGATGATCCCACAGGGGGCAGGAAACGAGCCGGCGAAGAGGAATGAACGACTTGCGAGATGGCCAAGGCTGTGTCATCAGAAATGCATCGCTTAGCCCCAGTCACCAAGCAGATGCCGATGAAATCGGCACCTGATCTAACAGCCTCCTCCGCCGCTTCAGGGGTCCGTGTGCCGCAAATCTTTGCGAACAGCGGCTCTGGCGCGGGCTTCTGCGGCTCAGCGTCAGAGCCCGAACACAACTGTCTGATGAACTTGGTCGTATCTGAAGCCCTCATGATAGCCTCGCCAACCAGAACGGCATTCACGCCATCCTTCTTGCACAACAGGACATCATCGTATGTGTTGATGCCACTCAGCGCGCAGATGATGGTGTTCTCAGGCACCATGCTCCTCAGTCGGCTTGTCGTGCCCATGTCAACCTCGAAGCTTTCAAGATTCCTGTTGTTGACACCGATCGCCTTGGCCCCGAGGTTCAACGCTATTGTCATCTCCTCCGTGTTCTGTACCTCTACTAGGGGCTCCATCCCGAGCGAGACGGAATACTTGTAGAGCCTTTCCAGCTCCTCGACTGTCAGCATCTTGACAATGAGCAAGACGGTATCAGCACCAGCGAGCCTGGCCTCCAAGATCTGGTACTCCTCAAAGATGAACTCTTTCCGAAGAATCGCAGGTCGGTTGGGCATGCCGTCCAGAACCTGCCTCACCGCTCGCAGATCTTCGATGCTGCCCCTGAACCAATCGGGCTCTGTGAGAACCGAGATGACGCTGGCACCCGCGAGAGCATACTTCCGGGCTTGGGTTGGGGCGCTGATGCTCAGGTCGAAAATTCCTTTCGAGGGTGAGGCTCGCTTGATTTCCGCCATGAGAGCCACGTCGAATGGCGTCTGACGAAGCCGAGCTACAAATGGAATTTGCGGCGGCGCTCCGTTTAGGTCATACGTCGCTTGTAGATCCGCAGGTCTCTGCGAAGGAATCTCTTTCTGAGCGGCGACTGACTTTCTCCGGCGGTCGTAGATTTGCTGCAGGATGTTGTTCTTCTTACCGGCAGCGGGCGGCGCCGGCTGTGCCGGAGTACCATTGCTGGCGGCGCCATTGCTGGCAGAAGCCTTTTGCAGACGAGAGTTCTCTTCCCAAGTGCCTCCTTGAAGCAGAAGGAAGTTCTTCAGCATGGTACGACCTTCGGCCGTGAGGATGCTCTCTGGGTGGAACTGGACACCCTCGATGGTGTACTCTCGGTGACGGACACCCTGAATGACACCGGGCGAACCGTCACTCTTTGCCACCCATGAGGTCACCTCGAGGCAGCTAGGAAGAGTGACCTGCGTGCCGGCCAAAGAATGATAACGAGTGACGGGCAGCTCTTGGGGCAACCCAGCATACACACCCTTGCCATCGTGGGTCAGAGGCGAGGTCTTGCCGTGTAGCCATTCTCCAGCCGAGCTGACCTCGCCACCATAGACGTCAAATATGCATTGCTGACCCATGCAGACGCCAAAAATGGGGATTTTCCCGGCGAAATGTCGAATGGCATCGCGACTGACACCAGAGTCGGTCGAAGGATGGCCGGGACCGGGACTAATGATCAATTGCGTAGGATTCTTGCTGGCCAGCTCCTCCAGAGTAATCTTGTCATTTCGATAGACCGTGACATTGGCGCCCTCGAGAATCAGGTACTGGTAAACGTTCCAGGTGAATGAATCATAATTGTCGATGAGGATGAGGTTTGACGCCGTGGGAATTGGTGGCGAGGGGTCCGGATGGTGGGGAGAGTGATCGATGATGTCGAGCGACGGCATCTTGTCGGACAGCCACTTTTGCAGAGCGATACAGTTCAATCGAAACCTCCTGGCGCGGCCCTTGGGGATCCTGTTGTTGAGAGTTGACGTGGCCTCGGTGAGTCAACTCAAGCCAGCCTTTTGAGTTGCGGGCGGAATACGTGTGATGGAACCACTGTGTTCTGTACATTTGGCACGGTGGACCATGGCTCACCCAAGGGAAGAATCACAGTGCGATTATATTCATTGGACCCTGACTTTATCTCTCGGAAGATGCCTTCCTAGAGCTCCGCATTCGGGCAGGCCAGTCGAATGAACCGGCGAGCCACAATTCTTGGTAATCCGGAAAAGCCCCGGCTTCTCGACTGTGGCTGACAAGCTAGCTAGTAGGCGCGCAACGTCCGAGCTTCTACAAAAAACGACAGGGCAGGAAGGAAGTAGGTAGGTAGGTACCAAAGTACCGCCAAAGCTCAACACCACTGCTCCAAAGGTGCATCGCGACGGACCGCGTTCGTCTGCCTTGATTCGCAACTTTCGCCAGCAGTGGTGCCTCATGCAGCCTTGGTTGCATCACACACTCGAGCACTGCGGCAATGGCGCCACTGACAGATCAGATTTATTTTCCTCCCTTGGAGGACTGCCTCAAGGGCGAGACCAGCATTCTGTATGTGCCTCCCATGCAGCTCCTTGCTGTTGTTTGCGCTGCCTTGTTGATTGCCATTGCTCACATCTGTACCACCAGCTCCTGGAGGCTCGTCGCCAAAGCTTTAGCTGAGCCCTACGGCGAACGTCGAAACACAGAAACCCTGTCTGAATTTCTAAAAGACGAACATGTTCGATCACTCCTTCAAGACCCAGCAACTGCATTTAGCCCATCCAACGATGCGACGAAGAAGCAGTTCGAGACGACGACGGCTGCCATCAACGTGACCCCGACGCCGAACGGCAAATACGATATTGGCACCATAAAGGGGGATGCTACATGGCTCAGCAAAGCTGGCAATGTCAACCTCATTGCAGCGCTTCGAATTGTTGTTCTCGAATTTCAGGCTCGACCTGCCGCTCATCTCGCAGGGCCACTATCGACACAGGATGCCGTCAACCTTCAAGAAGCTGCTGGCGTCAGCAACTCTCAATCATCAAGCCTCGTCCCCATATCTGGCGCGACGATGGATGCCGACGCCATATGGACCGTGTTTGACAAGGAGGAAGCGAAGCGCCTACGCATTTTCCAGACCTACCTCTCAGAGCGTCGTTATCTGGCCATGGCTGCGGACTTGACGCATGGTGAGACTTTGCGCCATCAGCCAAAAGCTATCACTGGCACCGAAGAGGCTTCCGAAGCCAGTTACCCTGTCCTACCCGCCGACGATCTGACCAAGCTGGCGGAGAATCTCATTTCGACCAACCTCAAGTGGATCGCTCGGACAGTCGATAGCCTTGGCAACGGTTTTGAACGGGAGACTGACGACAAGAGCATCTTGATCGACGAGATCGAGGTTGACTGGCAACGAACCTTGCTGACCGAAATTGCACACGCCTTGGCCACTATTTTCCAGGCCCTGGACAGCCATGGTGACCTTTTTGCGGCTCCCTCGTCTGTTCTTGAATGGTTCACACTAATGGAGTCTTGCGTCTTCTTCGAAGGCCTGTCTGCGGTATGTCGTCTTTGAAATGGCGATGGAGAGATTGCCCCACTAACGAGAAAAACAGGTCCACGAGAGCATCGCCTCCGTTGTGCTCCCAATTCACACATTAGTCTGCGCGATCTCATTGAAGCTTTTGAATCCCACAAGGGCAATGGCTTTCCTGTCACAAGACATTGACCTCCACCCCGATGAGAACAACCCTTATCTTGCCTCGTCAGACGTCTTGTCGAAGATCCACGATGCCATCCTCACAGCTGCTGATGCCGGCTGCGAAAGCCAGAGTCCTGTCATGTTTGTTTGGACCGTCATCACCCACCGCATGACCATCTCGCACACCGAGCGCTCGGAGAAAAGAGACACGATCCAGAACCAGAGGTCGCAAGACGTCTTCGAATCTAACGATTCGAATGAACCCCAGGCCTTGATTCGACCCAGCACCGGACGCCGGCTGTCCGCGGGCAGCATCGTCTCTCTCGATGGCTTGCCGTTCGACGGATTTCTTGCGGTTTCTGGTCTCAAGGATGACACGCAAGCAATTGAACAGCTGGCCATCGCTGTCACTTCCCAGGGCAGAGTTTATGATATCGTGACACAGATGGTTTTTGCTGCCTCTGCATCAAACGAAGGGAGCTTTGCCCCTGCGTTGGGCACTCGCATCCGGACTACATTCATCGACTTTTTGAAGGCCACCTACCCTCTGGTCGGCTACCAGTCAGATCCTGTCACAGCCTTGCTCTCGGTCCTTTCCGCCGGCAAGAGCTACTGGGATTTATCTCAGGACTTGGATCCAGCGCAGGACATCGCCGCTCAAACACTGCAGGACCCTCGAGCCCTGGAATTCTACTTCGACCAAGCATTCAGCCGCTATCCTTACGAGTTCTTGCCATTCCTAAACCTCTGCCGTTCTCTCACCAGTGCATCTGCCACGGACGAAAGCGCCGATGCAATCATCAACCTGCTTCGCAAGACTCCTTCCCTCACCTTTTCTTTACCCGATGACTTCCAGGAGTACGAGTTGGCGCAGGAAGAGGAGAACACGAACACATTCCGCCTATTGGCTGATATCTCCCTGTTCAACACGTCGTCTTCCTGGAGCAGAAGATCCCGCGAGGATGATGCGCTTATAGTACCCGCTGGCACCTACGGACGTTTCATCACCGACACTGGCCGTGTTGTGCTAATGGAGTATCAACATTCAGCACTCGCTCTTCTAGGCAAACAATTAGAAGTGCATCTTGCACCAGAAACCTTCAACAGTGAGCTGGAGGGCTTACGAACGGAGGACGTTGCAGAAGTTGTTGCACTGCTCTCAACGCTTCTTCAATCTGAATCAATCAAGAGCAAGAAGAAAGGACTTAAAGGCGAGCTTGTGCTCAAGGCTGGTCTTGAAATCCTGGAAGAGACAAGCCAGCATCTTTCGGGCAACAAGGATATCATCTCCGTCGTTTGCAGCCTGCTCGACGTCTACACACAAGATGACCAGGCGACTGCCGATGGCCCTGGTATCCTTGTCTTGACCTCGTGTGTCCAATTCCTCCACGCAACCTTGCCACTTTGCCCAACCCGCGTCTGGTCCTACATGGCCCGATGCGATCTTCTCAACTCGGACTCGCGTGCCGGAAAGCTGACTAGGTTGGTCGGTCAACTTGACCTATCACCCGATCGCTTTGATTTCCTGCTTTCCGTTATCAGGTTGTTCTCGAGCCTTGTCGACAGCGTAATGCATAGCGCCATCCAGCGAAAGTCTGGCAACAAGATTGTCGGCCGCCAGAAAGTCTCAAACAATGTCTGGCTTGGAGTTGCGGACAAGGTGCTTGCAAGAGTCAGCCTGGCTATTGCCCAAAGTGCCGTCGATGTCTTCGAGAGCTCCTCTACCTGGCGGTTCCCATCGGAAATCCACCAGACAATACTGGTTCAAGATCTAATCCCCATCATGGAGAGGCTTGTGACTGACACATATTCTATCGGCGACCCCAGAAGCCCCGACTCATTGTCCATCTGCTTGCAGCCAGCATCTGACTACATCATTAAGTCGTTCCTCTCTGGCTCCAATGGCTCGTTGAGGTTTCAGGCTCTTCTTGGGACTTGGATCACTGCACTGCGCATCCCGGATTCCACCCTATACCTCAGCAAACTATCTGCCATTAGGAGGCAGGTAGTCTCGACGATCGGGTTCGCAACCTCATTGCTGCGTGTGGCATCTCTCCTGGAGCGGCCCTCAACCGCGTTTGAAGAATATCTCTTCAAAGCAACCTCTGTTTTCGCTCGACTGAGCGCTGTCGATGAAGAATTCAGGCAACCCGTGATGGCGCTCCTTGGGGCACTGGTCGTCAATGCTTCAAAGGCTCACGACGACCCCCCATCTCTGCTTGGATATCTCGGCCCGCTCCTGTCCAGATCGTTCCTACAACTCCTGTCAGGCCTCGGGAAGCCATTGCTTCAATCCTCCGAAGTTTGTGCCACATGGCACTTCTTTTCTATCATTGTACAGAACCGACAGCAGTGGATGTCAAACTGCCTGCTCACAGGCAAGACGCCTCGCGACGCGCTGAGCAGGGGTGACAATAAAACTACTGAATCAGCGACCACCTCAGTTCTAAGCACTGCATTCGCCAAGCTGAAGGCCATCAACGACCTGGAGAGGGAGGAGGCGCTGAAGGTTCTCGACTTTGTTGCTTCAGCGCAAAACCACTGGCCGTGGACAATCTTCACGATGCAGAGAGACTCATCCTACTTCGAGTCCCTTCGTCGGTTCGTGCGAGAGCTACAGACCTCGAGCACGACCGCGAGGACAGATGCCACGAAGGCAGCGGTCGAGGCTAAGATGGCAGCCTACATCGCTGAGATCTTTGCTATGCAACTGTACCACCAGCGACAGATGGGCGGTGCTGAGGAGCTGGCGAAAAGCCTTGTGGCGGATCTCGACTATTTTCTCCGTGATGGTGTCGAGGTGGCAAGCTACAACAACTCACTGCACAACAACTTTACGAAGAATTTTGCATCCAAATACCCTGGAGTATCCCTTGACAGCCTCAAGCGAATGGCATTAGAACCTCGCGAGCTTGGAGAGTGGTACTACTATGCCCTGGATCGTGCAAACACGATGCTGGACTTCGATCCCGGCTGGCACGGTCGACGAGATGATGGATTCAGAAATGAAATGGGCATCGCGAACGCCAACTTGTCTCTGGTCGATGCCCAAATTGTAAGTCTGGCCTGCTCAGAGTGAAATTGAGCCAGTTGCTAATGATCTCCCAGTCTCTGTTCCACGCATGGGAGTTCTTGCTCCTTGAACTGAGCAGTTCTTTGCCAGAGAACCCCAACGTCCAGAAGCAAATGCTACAGGTAGCCCAGCAGTGTCTCAACGCCAACCAGTCAACTCAAGGTCCTGAGAATATCTTCGTGCGCATCGTCGAGGATCGAGCCAACTTGGCTTTGATGTTGCTTCGTCGGCTCGTCGGAACATCTCCTACATCTCAAGACATCAAGCAGATCTTGGGCAGCCTGTTCAGTGTGATCAACGCCGTCCAAGACCCCTTCGGACCCGAGTCCATCGAATACCACCGGACCATCCTGAAGACAGTCTACGTCACACTGCGGCTTTACGGCTCCGCGGACAAGGAAAGCCTCAAAGCTTCAACGTCTGGTCCCAAAGGCTCGTCAGCAACTTTGACGCAGACTATTCTCAACCTCCTTGATACTGTTGTCGCGAAGGGGTTCAGATCACTGATCAGTCTTGTGCACGACTCGAATGCGGCGGTCGCGCCGGAGGATTTCGCCCTCTTAACCGCCATTCTTCAGGCTTGTCTGAGTATGCCTGCGATGGACCAGTGCCAGACTCAGATCCTTAACATCATGGCGTCATACGACGCTATGCACGCAGCGACATCTCTGTTTTCTTGGTCAGACAAACTCTCGACCAACAACGACCCGATTTATGGAGAGCTGAGTCTGCTCTTCCTTCTGGAGCTTTCTACACTACCCACTCTCGCGGAGCAGATGGCGGCCGATGGCTTGCTGAGCCACCTCACGTCAGCTAACATTACAAATTACATGCGTAAAGGCATTATCTCGCCATTTTCCGATGTTGTCGGCGCTCAGAGGTGTTACAGCATTTGGGCGAAGGGTGTCCTACCTCTCCTTCTCAACCTCCTCACTGCGCTCGGTGGGACAGTGGCCCCCGAGGTCGCCTATGTTCTGAACCAGTTCCCCCACCTTCTCAAATCGAGCGTGGAGAGGTTTGAAGCGCCTGGCGCTAGTCGTACGGCCTCGCGCGATGCGCCGCACTACGTCACGCTCCTTGCTGTTTCCGAGGTTCACTCGCTAGCTCTGTTGACCAAGGTCATTGGCGCTCTCCGCGTGAATAACAATCGCGACATTCCTGAAGTTGATTGGGACGCAGCATCACTTCTGGAAAATATCGACTTCTGGCTCTCAACACGCAAGCTTCTGAAGGAGCGGCTGCTGCCCCTGGGTCAGCGCGAGGTCGAATGGAGAGGCGCAGCTATCGACGCTGCCGGGGATGAGAGGAAACCGGACAATGTGCTCGAGGCCAAGGTCGTTGCGCAGATGGAGGCCGTTCGAGACGTGCTCATGGAGGATTTGGAGTAGTTATGCCTATGGCGACTTTTGATATCAGGCCGCCACACTCTCAGGATGGAAGGAAGCATCTTGGGGAGACGAAAATGGGGTTATGGGCGTTGGATGTATGTACTCTTTGCGGAGGGGACTGGCAGTCGCGAGACCAACCGTCGTCGCGGGCCGTGTGACATTAGATAGTACGAAATTTCAGTACGGTAGCCATGATACCTCAGATTGGCCTTTCAACATCGATGACCCCTCATGAAGTGAGCCAGAGTCCGTGTGCACTGTTAGAAAAGGTAGAATGATGGAGTGAGATTTTGACTTCGTATTTCAAAAGCAACCGCGGCAATGGGGGTTTCATTATCCACCGCCTGCTGTCTATGCCCGCGCCGCCCCTTTCCCACCCTCTTTGTGATGTACACGTTCGAGTGAACCCGCTTTCCCTTCTTCGGCCGGCCCGACCCAAGCAGGGGCTCCCAAGCCATCCCGCGAACGGGGGCATACAATAATGGTTGTTATACAGGTGTGTGCTATTGTTTTGTTCCGAGAACATGCGTGTCCCTCCCTCTCTGAGTGAGGCCTCACGCGGTGCAAACATGCGTGCAGTGGGTTTATTGCTGCTGCATCTTGGCCGTCATCTCGGCGTTGTGCTCCTGGAAGCGCTCGCTGAGGCGCTGCTGGGAGAACATCTGCTTCTGGACGCAGCGGGTGATGCAGCCGTTCTCGCGCGACGAGAGCGTCTTGGAGGTGAAGTCGTCGATGCAAGCGTTGAAGCAGTGGTCAACGACGTTGCCGAAGATCTGTGACGTTTGGCTCGCGGTCAGCTTCTTCTTTTCTTCGATTTCGTTTTCCCCGAAAGGGGCGGCGGCGGCGGACTGGGGAGGATCGGCCGAGGGCCAGTGGAGATTGCAGGCGGCGTATATGTCTCCTCATGCAGCGTGGATTGTTGGCGGGCTTGCTTACGTTCATGAACTCCTTGACCTGGCGCTTCTGGAGACGCTGCTGGAGCATGGCCTCCTCGGTCCTTGTCAAGCTATGGGAAGGAGGTTCGTTAGCGAATTGGTGGTCCGACAGGGGCGTTGGGCGGCGGGGAGTGCCGCGGGGGCTGAGGCGTACCCTTCCATTGTGATGTGTGTGTGTGTGGTTGGGGGGTTTTCGGGTGGGTGGTTGGAGTTTCGTGATGGTCGTGATAGGAAAGATGAATTGTCGCGATGATGAAATTTCTTTGGGATGTAAAGCTGTCTGGCTGCGAGGTTGCTAACGCGGCTTGTCAAGAGGGTCCTTGGAGGTTGGAATGGCCAATTGGAGAGCGCTTGGCTCATTCGGGAAAGGTAGCGATAAGGATAAGATTGGGCGATAAGTGACCAGGTGTGGACGTTGCTATATGAGACTGAGGCACAACCTCATGACCGGTCGCCCCCAGGCGTCGCCTTTTCAGAACGTCTTGTCCGAGATGAAATCCGCTTATGATACGCTATCATGTAGAGGCGCATGCAAAAGTCTGGCGCGGGGTTTAAGATGTGGCCACTACTAGATGTGGCTTCCAGGGAGTCTTGGCCAGCAAAGGTTGATCCAAACTTGCAACATGCCGCTCATGATTTTCTCGTTGCTCAACCCGCACCTCCAGAATCAATTCAGTCCTCCTCCCTAATGGTATCAAGCCCTACTGAAATAGGGTCACACGTCTCCCAACCAAATGTTCCATCCAAAAAGCCACCCTTACTACCCAGCGCTCAACTCCGACCATATTTACATAATCATACAACAGTGCTTCTCCATCTTGCGCATAAGCTTGACAAGAAGATCCGCACCCTCGTCCTGCTGCTGCTGGGCCTGCTGCTGGCCCTGGTGCTGCTGCTGCCCTTGGTTGTAACCTTGCTGGTGCTGCTGTTGCTGCTGGTGTCCTCCGTGCTGCTGCTGGCCGTGGCCCGAGTAGCCACCATGCTGCTGCTGCTGCTGCTGGTGATGGCCCTGCTGCTGCTGACCATGGTGCTTGCCACCCTGCGGCGGGAGGACCGCCTCGCCGCCCTGGAGGTTGATCAGGATACGACCCGTGTTATGCTCGTCCGTCGCATAGTTGAGCCCCATCTCGCGACAGAGCTTCTCGACAGCGGGCTTGAGCTTCTGGATGCCGCGCTCGCTGTGGTGGCCCTTGCCGACAATGGCGTAGACGTGCGACTGGCCGCGGTCGCGGTCGGCGCGCATGCGCATCTCGAGGATGCGCTCGGCCTCCTCGACGAACTGGCCGTGGAGGTCAATCTCGTCCTCGTCGATGCGGCCAGGGGCATTGTTGGCGCGGAAGATAAAGTCGGACGCCTGCTGGTTGTAGGCGTCTACCTGGGCGTCGTGGTGCTTGCCCTGGTTGGAGAGCTCCTTGGCGGCGGCGCCGTCGCCGTTGCGGTAGGCCTCCTTGGAGCGATCGAAGCAAGACCCCCGCTTCTCGGCCTCGGCCCGGGCCAGATCGCGGAGACGGTCGTACTCGCGCTCCGTCTCGTCATCGTCGTTGTCCGTGTGGGCGAAGGCTAGAAGAGGAAGCGTGGTCGAGTTAGCGTTGCGTTCGTTGTCATTGGGGAAGGGTATGTTGTGATGGTGACATCATATTGCCAAGCAGAAGGGTGTTGGGCTTTGACGCGTACCGCGGCCGCCGAGACGGTTCATGGGGATAGACATGTTGGCTGGAGCAAGCAGACCAAATGCTTCATTGGTATGTTGCCAATTGGGGGGTCTCAATGGTGGACGCCAAAGGTTCCTGGTGCCAGCTAGCGATTTGAATCTAATCTGAGAGTCGTCACAAGCTCGTAAAGCTGTGGCTGAACGCGGCCTTCCAAGGCACAGTACCTCTACCAAAAGCGGTTAATGACTTTCGGCAGTGCCCCTGATCACCGGCCGGTAGGTCGACCAGCCAATGGTCATCTCACTGAAAACCTCGCCCACCGCCTTTTCGGTTTTGGTCCCCATTGCTATTCGCCTGAGCTGGTGGTGATTCTTCGTGGTCTCCATGCTGGTCGAGCTGAACAAACTGTTGTAAGACTCGCCCAAACCGACTCATGAACAGCCCCGCCAATTCCTCTTGTCGATGGCTCAATGCCACCCCATGCCTCAAAGCGGCCCTCGGCTGATGAAGTGAAGGCCAGCAACCCTGGGTCAGCCTAGCGACGCCGATTCGCCTGCGCTCATCCACCAGCGAGACAGACAATACGGGGGCTGACAGTACCATTGAATCGGCCACGCTGATCATGGGATGGATGGTCAGGGGTTATGTGTGCGTCTGGGAGTGTGCCTACTGCAGAAAAGGGATCTGCAACGGCTTTTTCTTGACTCAATAGACAAACCGCCCGCGTTGGAGCAAACATGAAACTCAGGTGGCCAAGCACGCTGTCGCTCTCCATTGCTTCTAGAACCCCCGGAAATCCTTCGGAAGAGGAGCGACGGGGAAGACCGATGCAACCAACACCGTGCGCGAGCCGACTGACTGCTGGCAAATGAAACGCTTGTCCACCCATCCTTGGTCTTTTTCTGGCTCTCGTCCCAAGAACACATCAGATGTGACGTTTCGGGCAGCGGGCGGCGAAGAATACCAGTCGTGATATAGATGTAAGGATGCAATGCAAGGTGACCATGGTAGAGGCAATTCGCCCATTTCCGTTTCGAAATGAAGGGTTTATCACAACTCCGCCAGAAGGTGCTAACGACACTCGACGGACGGGAGTCAATAATTATTAATAAAGAGACGAACCGCCAGCCCGCAGCACGACGCCTCTCTCGACCTCAAAGCAGGCAATCATCGTTCGATGGACTAGGAATAGAGGCTTGCTCGTAATGCGGGCGCGGAACGATCTGTTACTCCACATATGCTCTCCCGTTGCGGTAACAAGCACACCACAATCCAGGGGCAGCTCATCTCGCCGTGGATCGTGAAGGGGCGAAATGTGGGAATGGCCATGTGGCTCCCCTGGCCTCGGAATTGCCTGCTGCGCGAAGTACTGTGACTGCAGCAAGCACTGCGCCAGGGGCGGAGCCTGCTAGTTCCTTGGTTTTCTGGCAATAGTCTCCGGCCCAAGCCCGGCAGAGGACAGAGATGCGAGCGAAATTGCCCTTATTTCCAAGACGAAATTTGGCTTCAGATGGTACACCTGACTCGCTGCTCCTGGATGTGAGGACGTGCGCTGCATCGCTTTGTAGACCGAACCGTTGCCCTCTGCTAGCTGCGTTACATGAACTGCTTGTCCAGCAGAGATGATGCCAGACTATCGAGGTTGAAGAGATTTGTGCCGTTCCGGGGTGCCTAGGTTGTTGCATGTCTCTGACAATGGACGTTGTACTGTAACGACAGGGGCGTCTTTTGAAGATCTGGGGGAGCATGCGCCCGTCATGGCCGCCAAGCCGCTCCCAAACTTGCTCGACGGGCTGTGAAGTGTATCAGGCACTGACAATGCCTATCAATTCTGCCCTCACTCTCAAGAGCAACCATGAGCAACAATGCCTCATGTTTGCGTGGTCTGGAAACCTTACAGGTTCTGTACCACAACCTAGCCTGGCGTTTCAGCATGAACAGTTGAATCCCAGTTGTGGCTCACCTCTTATCCCGGGTGGGGAAAACCACGTTCTGCCGACACCGAACACTTCGTGAAAGAAGCGCAGCCTTGCAATAGGGGTGGCCGGTAGCTCTTCTTGAAAGCCATCGCTGGAAACGACGGGATGATCAGTCCGAGTGCTGCCTGCTGTCGAGCGGCGACAGAAGCTCGGGTTCCCGGCCACATGATCGCCAACACGCATGGTCAGTTGCTGCCTGAGAGTAGAAACCCCAGACGCAAGCAACGCAGCACTATTTCGATCATTCGATTGACGGGCAACCAGAGGTTGGCCACCCTCAGACAGTTACAATTGTACAAGTGTGGCGCCGCCGGCCCGGCTCCATGACCACAAGGCTTGAGACCTGTAGGAACCTCTTCATAGCTCCCGTTGCTCAACGCCGGCTTCTGTAACCGAGTTGCTTGTCGGCTTTGATGCCAAATGTTTGACCAGGCTGATGTCGGTGCATCGTGGGTCTTGGCAGGCCTTAGGCCCCCCTTTGACCATAAGCATCCAGCAGGCTCCGAATGCAGGGAGAGAAGCTGCGTGGTGCCCAATCATCTCGCGGACAGCAAGACAGACATTGAAGGCTGTCTCTCATCTTTGGCCTGGCCCTGGTTCCCAAGACGAAAAGCCCAGCCTATGCACCCTTGGTACGCCGTGCAGACTCGGTCATATATCGATTCCCAGAAAAGCAAGTTCTGGCAGTTGAAGGTGCAGAAGCGTCTTTCCAGACTGTCGGTTGATGCTTTTCCAGAAGAACGATTCTTTGTCGTTCCATAGGCGCGCACTTGTTTTGTCGGCACGCTGTCCGTCTATTCCAAATGGCCCGGCACCTTCGAGCCGTTGAGAGACATCGCCCTACATATTGATGCTTTTCGACGACAGCTGATGCAGACTGGCAACATTACAGTCCAGTGCAGCGGCATGCTGCAGCTGCAAAAAGCAGACAAAGAAAAGTGACGAGGGCAAACGAAACCGTTTATCGAGGCGACGAGTCAAGCAAGCAACCGCGTGTCGACAGCATTCAGCCAGTGGAAGAAAGGTATTGTGATGCCCAACGGGCATCCGCAGCATACCTAGGTATTCAGAACCAGGCCAGGTTCTCGATGCCTTCTTTGGGCGGATACACCGCAGCATGGCGAAAGCTGGCTGTCCGTCATCAGCGATCAGGCCCCCCCTTACAGATTAAATGAGAGGCCGCTGATCAGTAGGAGATGTGTTGCCTGGATGGTTGCGCGAGCGAACGAGGTTAGTAACGGGACACGTCCCCAACTCACCCGCACGTTGATCCAGTATTTTTGTCAATCACGGCCGTGCAGGCTTCAGCTCCAGCGGGTGGCAAGCTGCGAGCTGCGCAAGAGGGGTTGGAAGATGGCGCCGGCGAAGCCGCGCTCGGTAGTGCATGTGAGTGCCTGGATTGACTGGCGTGCTTTAAAAGCAAGCTTGACGAGGTAGGTACACAGCGCCCGTCCGCTGGGGAGATGGTTCTGTTTCTGTTACTACGCTGTTGCTGGTGGTTGCCGAGGCCCCCCACGACACCACCAGATGCCGCCGACGCGCACCGTAGGTAGATTAATATGTCGCCCGGCGCCAGGTCTTACGGAGAGGTACTCGTCAAATGGGCACCTGACGAGCCTGTACACTTGTTCCCAAGATGGGTGACGTCCGTCACTGGTGTCGGCGATGGCTGGAAGAGGTACTTCTGCAGGTCATTGCAGGGGATACCCGCTGGGTGCCTTGGTGCATCCCCTTGCAGGACCTGGGACTTTGTCCTGTACATATGCCGGCAGGTATCTGTCCGCACACTGCACCCAGAGATTCAGTCAGCATCAGCGAAGAGGCGATTGCCGTTTCCGAGTTCGTGGGTTCTCACCTGGAGCATTTTGGGCGAAGACCCATCAGAGTGTAATGGCACTCCGGACTCCATCACAAACCACCGCCCACAGACTACAGACGACGATGGCTGGGGTCCGTGATCTGAATGGCGCGAGGAAATTTTACATTAGTCAGGGCGGCGGGCAGGGACGACCAGGCCAGGGCGGCGAGGCGAGGCGAGGCAAGCAAGAGGTAGCTTGGGTAGTTCCTTCCTCACTTCAAAGACATCGTCGACCTAGCCCGTCTGCGCCCTGTGACTGGACGGCGCAGTGTCCCCACCTGCGACACCAGTGCATTCGGGGTGGGCGCCCCGCCGGGGGAGCGACAGGTCCAGTGTCACTTGTTTGGCATCTTCGCACTGTTACTCCCAGCAACCACTGGGTGCTCCGTGGGCCACCCACACCTGATGCCTTGCTGATGCCTTCCAGCGTGTAGTGGAGTGGTCGGGGCGCCCTTGTCGCTGATGGTCCCTTGAGTCTGTCCCCTACTCCTGCATTCGAACGATGCCCACAGATCCGCTCCCATACTGTGTACCTGCAGCCCCGTACCACCCGAAACCGCACTGGCGTCTGGCTTATTGTCACCCACACACCCCCGGCCACGGCCTTCTCTCGTCTCCCAGGCCCATCCCATCTCATCCCATCCCCGTCCATGTCCCTTCCCCCCCCCTGGCCGCCAGTCCTTGTTCCTCTCCACCCGCATTAAACGCACCTCCCAAGCCAAACCAAACCAAAGCCCCTTCCTCTTTTCCCCCTTCTCCCCCAATCTCGAAGACACCGTCGCAACCATCCATCTCTCACCACGCCGACGATCGGTTTTGTTGCCGTCTCTCGTTCCTTTTTTGCTTCATTCCCATTGCCATCGTCAATTGACTGGTGCACAACGACTGTAGGATTGGTGAGTTCTGCCCTGTGCCGCGCTGTTCCCGCGCAATTCTTGTCGTCGTACCTATTCCGGCGGTTGTCTCCTTGGCCGTCTCCTCGCCTGGCCTCCTGAGCCACCAAACTCGACCTCGACACGCCTCTCGAGAACGACATCTGCCTACCCTCGCGATCGACCGAACTCGCTCGCGACTCTTGCACAATCACGCCACGTCGGATGGAAAATCATACACGAGTCGATGAATAACACGGGCCGAAGCTGCACGACATATCTCGAGGCGCGGCTTGGAATAGCATTCTATTTGGCTCGCGAAGAAGCGTGGGCTAATCAAATATTCTTCATCAGCAGGTCAACATTGGTACCCAAGTCTCGCCAACAAGCAGTCACACTAAACTTCGAACTGTCCCACTATAATACACCACATATTCAGCACCAGGAAACACCGGCACCATGGGTTGCGGAATGAGTACGGAGGAGAAGGAGGGCAAGGCCCGGAACGAGGAGATTGAGAACCAGCTCAAGAGGGATAAGATGATGCAGCGCAACGAGATCAAGATGCTTCTTCTGGGTATGTCCAGCAACGTGATTGCTGTCGTCTCTCGGCATTCAAACTAACACGTCTACAGGTGCTGGTGAATCTGGAAAGTCCACGATCCTCAAGCAGATGAAGCTCATCCACGAGGGAGGCTACTCGCGCGACGAGCGCGAGTCGTTCAAGGAAATCATCTTCAGCAACACCGTCCAGTCGATGCGTGTCATCCTCGAGGCCATGGAGTCTCTCGAGCTTCCGCTTGAGGACCAGCGCATGGAGTACCACGTCCAGACCATCTTCATGCAGCCGGCTCAGATTGAGGGCGATGTCCTGCCTCCCGAGGTCGGCAGCGCCATCGAGGCGCTGTGGAAGGACCGCGGTGTCCAGGAGTGCTTCAAGCGCTCCAGGGAGTACCAGCTTAACGATTCGGCGAGATAGTGAGTTGCCCACGCACGGCTCGAAATTGCATTCGTTGCTAACAAACGTCAGCTACTTCGATAACATTGCCCGAATCGCCGCCCCTGATTACATGCCCAACGACCAAGATGTCCTGCGATCGCGTGTCAAGACGACTGGTATTACGGAGACCACGTTCATCATTGGCGATCTGACCTACAGGATGTTCGATGTCGGTGGCCAGCGATCAGAGCGAAAGAAGTGGATTCACTGCTTCGAGAACGTCACAACAATCCTCTTCCTCGTTGCCATTTCCGAATACGACCAGCTGCTTTTCGAAGATGAGACGGTCAACCGTATGCAGGAGGCGTTGACACTGTTTGACTCGATTTGCAACTCAAGGTGGTTCATCAAGACGTCTATCATCCTCTTCCTGAACAAGATCGATCGTTTCAAGGAGAAGTTGCCCGTCAGCCCCATGAAGAACTACTTCCCTGACTACGAGGGTGGCGATGACTACGCCGCGGCGTGCGACTACATTCTCAACCGTTTCGTCAGCTTGAACCAGCATGAGACCAAGCAGATCTACACGCACTTCACCTGCGCGACGGATACGACGCAAATCCGCTTCGTCATGGCGGCCGTCAATGGTGAGTCCTAGCTAGCTTGGGCTTGATGCAATACTGCAGAAGCTAACTCTGTCCGCGCAGATATCATCATCCAGGAGAACCTCCGTCTTTGCGGCCTGATTTGAGTGCAATGTTTTTTTTTACTTCTCAGCAAATACCCTTTACTTCGTAATGGCATGGCTCCGGCTAGACATTGTCGCGGGAGTTGGCTCATGAATTCAACCCGCTCCCGACGACGCACACGGCAACCCGACGGTTTTCTAGGATTCCCTTTTATTTTTTTCACGTACGCCATGTCGCGTGTTTCCTGTCGCCCACATCAACCTCCTCAGACGCCCACAGCATCGGCCGTTACGCTCCCAACTCATTTCCTCCATTGCATTGCTTTGGTGTGGGCAGTATGTCAGGCTTCTGGGTGTCTTGCATCGAACCTTCTGACAGAAGGCTTCAGAGGCGGTATTCGTGTGGTGGTCTGTATCAAAAAGAACAAGGGGCAACGACCCCAACGAGCGACAAGGCGAGGCGAAGGGGAGGAACAGGGTGGAGAAAACAGGCTGAAATTCTAAGCGATTGATGGATGGATAGCAGATGGTGAACTAGGGAGCGGAGGAATCGATGACCCTGAACGCATGTCCGAGAGGAGTGACGCGGTGGAACGGAGGGTGGTTCAATATTTCTGTTTAATTATGAAAGTCCAATTTCCTAACGTCTACGCCGTGCACATGTGACTTGCCATCTACAGTGCCTGTCAGCGTTCGCATGGAGGTGATGACCCCGCTCGTTTGGCTTGCGATCAGCACTTGCTAGACCAAGAAGATCGGACATGTTCTCACTGCATGCCCGGCTGACTTGATGTAGTCCGAGTCGCGTTGTTAACGACCTCGGGAACATGTTCGACAGGTATTAGACGCGTGCCTCGCAGTATGGCCGCCAGTTCTGGACGAGAATAACCTGGCGGCGTAACGGAACGCTGGTAGAGCAACCATGTGTGGGATTGTACAACTTGATGGTTTAATGATCCACAAACGCTTTTCGCTCCTCGTTCGTACTGGTCCCACGGCCGCTGGGAGACTGACACGCAGAAAAATCACGGCGAGATGCATGAACCCTTCGAGTCGACACGCGGCAGAACACCAGCCCTGGCTGTGGAGGGGGGGGGGCCTGCATTGAACATTTTCCAGATGAAACAAAAACTACCACAAGACGCAACGTCTACCGTCCCCCTCTTCCCCGGCCCGTTTTCCCTTGTTCGTGTCGGCGAGGAGACGCGGGGAGCCTACTCCCCCTCCTCCACCTCCCGCATGCCCTGCCCGTGGTCGCCCTCGGGACCCTGCTCATGCTGCTGCTGCTGCTGCTGCTGCTCGTGCGCCTGCTGCGCCTGCAGGAAGTCGCTGTACTCGGCCGTCGCGAGCGCGAGCTGCCGCGCCGCGGCGTCGATGCGGAACTGGTAGCGCACGTGGGGGTCGTCGGCGCGGGCCTCGAGGACGTGCCGGTCGAGGATGCTGCGGACGTACTGGTCCAGGCCGCCGGGGGCAAAGTTGGGGCCGAGCTGCTGCTGCTGCTGTTGCTGCTGCTGCTGCTGGAGGTGCTGGGGCGGCGGCGGCGGCGGTGCGGGCAGACCTTGAGGCACAGGGCCGGCGAGGCCTGTGAAGACGGGGACGGAGTGCTGGAGCTGGATGGCGGGGATGTGCTGGTGCTGTTGAGGGAGGTTTGTTTCTGTGCCGCGCGCCTGGTCAGCAGCGAAGATGGTTTGAAGGGGGGGAGCATCATGTGAAACGGGCAAAAAGGACAGGAGGAGCAACGTACCGTGGAAGGAACAGCGCGAGCCGCTGGCGTTGAACCAGCAGTTGGCGCAGCTGCCGCACATCTGGCCGCTGACGACGATGCAGCCGTTCCAGGGGCCGTAGCCCTTGTGGCAGCTCTTGCACTGGCTGTGCGCCTCCTGGCCCGAGACGTGGGCGAGCAGGGCCTCGACGTTGCTGCGGCGCTTGAGGTTGAGGCCCTGGTCCTGGCGGCGCTGGACGGCGAGGCGAACGCCCGTGTTGTCGGCGAGACGCTTGGCCAGGGCGCTGTCGATGAGGAGGGCCGGGTAGCCGCTCTCCTTGGAGAGGTCGATGGCGGTCCGTGGTGGGCCGGCGTCCATGGGGGCTTCCATGGCGAAATTTTGCGGGGGCGGCGGCGGGGCCTGGTGGTGTTGTTGCTGATGCTGGGAGTGCGGCGGCGGCGGCTGCTGCTGCTGCTGATGGGCGCCGGGCCCGGGGACGAGGCCTTGGAGGGCGGAGTGTATGGCTTCTGCTTGTTGTTGGGCGGCTTGGCTTGGGCCGTTGGGGAGAAGGCCGTGGGCGGCGGAGGAGAGGTCAAAGTGCGGTTGGTGTTGATGCTGCTGCTGCTGCTGCTGCTGCTGGGAAGGAGCGCCTGGATGGTGGTGATTCGGAGGACCGTGGTGATCCTCGTCTACGACGTCGTCGTGCTCGCCGTCTTCGTCTTGGTCTGGGAGGTGTTCAGTTTTAGCAATGACGGAGTGACGGTCTTCCTCATCATCGTCACGAAGCTGGGCGTCTATTTGGTCGGCCGTGACGGAGGACTGGCGATGGCCTCGTCCGCGACCGCCGGCAATGGGAGGCTTGGTGACCTTGTTCGGGCGACCGCGCGGTCGTCCGATGGCACCGCCTCTACCGGACATGGAAGGGTTCTCTGGGTCGGGCGGGATGCTTTCGCGAGGACGCGGATGGGACGTGATGGTTTGGCGATGCTGAGCAGCTGATGACAGCTGGTGGGTGAACAGGCTTGAATTGAGGGAGAGTGAGCGCCAGTGTGCGAAGGCGTCGGGGATTTCCCACCCACGACGGGCGGCCAAATGCGGTTAGCGTCGTTGGCACGCTTCCTCTGAGGGCAAGTGCAAGTTGGCCACCTCCTCTCCTCGCCCTTTACATAGGTATTCTCAAATTCACCTGAACAACATATCGAAGAAATATGTCATCATTTCGAAAATGGACAGGCAAGCCCTGGCATGATCCAGCCGGGTGTACGCACAAAATGCCTAGAGCTGATCAGATATAGCCAGACCTCGACACCAGGTACTAGCCTACAGTACTAGGAGCTCGACAGCCTCTCACGTGTGTGAAACCATGGTATGACAGTTGTACTCGGCACCAGTCACCGGCCAACAATAAGCTTGCCATGTGCGCGGTGCATTTCAGACTCGGCTCGAAGACTGAACGTGTACTGATGGTGCTGTTGCCCTCCAAGTATTTGTGGCAAATATTTGACTGATTCGGTTGCTCCCATTTGGTGTCGGAATGATCATTTGACAAACACGCTTTATGCAGTCATTGTACTGAGGACAACTGCAACCTGGCTTTCGAGACTGTCGTGACGCTTTTCTCTGCATTACAAAGCAGCAGATTTCTGATCCAGATCACGGGAGTCGACGATGTTTATTTTCCATGAGGAGGCACCCCTGGGTACAAACACATTCAAAAGAAGACTCACCAAGTCTCAGCCAGCTATAGAGGTGATCCAGTCCCTGGCAAACTTTTTAGAGCAACGCTTCAGCCTGAGGAACACTTCCCATCCCTCTGGTCTACAGTTCCGCCGGTTGCCCAGCGCCGCGCGATACTGGATATCATTATCACTAGGCCAGACGGAGTTGTAGACGTGAACAACGTTTTCCCTGTGTCCTATGATAAGACATATGCGTTTCCCGACTTTGGGTCCGAGGCTAGTAAGGTACCTCACATAGCATTAGTAACCTCTTCATTGTACGGATCGTGTACCTCGCGTCTACTCGTGCAAAGCCCATCCCGTGCTTGAGCCTCTCTTTTTGATCATGTGCTTCATTGAACCTGCAGATTCTACCGCTGTGGAGACTCCCACACGTCGCCCCCGCCTTCCGTCGCCGTCATGTCCCTCCACCGCTGCATAAACTCCCGCAGACCCCCCTCGCCGGCCGTGCTCGCGTCGACAACCTCCTTCGGCAGCTTGTGCGCCGAGTACTGCGCCGAGCTAAAGTTGGCCGACGACGGGTTATCCCGCTCCATGAGCCGCAGCTCCGGCACGAGCTCGTCAGCCTCGTCCTCGTCCTCGGTCGTGGCGTCGTCCTCGTCGGCGCCGGCGCCGGCGCCCACGTCCTCGCGAAACTCGTGCGGGCTGACGACGGAGCCGAGAATGGGCCGCGGCACGTCAAACGCCAGCAGTTCGGCCCAGTCGAACAGCAGGCTGTCGGTGCGGGCGGCCCAGGGGTTGACGTCGATGAGGCGCACGCGGCCGAGGCCGTCGCGCGCGTCGCTGTCCTCGGGCACGTAGACGTCAAAGACGAAGCAGCCGTCGGGGAAGGTGAGCTGGAGCTTGTCTTCGAAGAAGCTGCGCACCTTGCTGACGAGGGCGGGCCGCAGCGCCTCGAGAAAGGGGTAGTGGTTCTGGTCGCGCGAGCAGAGGCCGATGAGGATGCGGTGCTTGACGAAGCAGCGGAACTCGAGGGCCGGGTGCGGGCTGAAGAAGGGGCGCAGCACGAGGACGGGCTGGAAGGGGCGCGACTGGGACGAGGTCGAGGGGGATGTGTCGACCGTGTCGTCAAAGGCGTGCTCGAGGTCGTGGCTGACGAAGCTCGAGCTCTTGAGGAGGAGGTAAATGTCATTGGGCGACGTGGACTTGAGGGTGTTTTGGTGTGGTGAGATCCAGGCGGCGTCTTTGGGAGATGACCAGTTCAGCTTGGGCACGACGGCGCCGCCGAGTTCGCGGATCTTGTCCTTGATCTCTTGGTGGATCTCGGGGAAGCGTTCGTTTGGTGGGCGCGTGTCGGCCTCTGGCTCATCGTCGTCGGAATCGGAGTCGGATTCTGGTGCTTGGCGGGTGGAAGCACCGCTAGAAGCCCATTCTTCTTCGTCTGGCCTGTCGTCTTGCTGCGTCTCATCGTCGTCGGCGAGGATGATGCCGTCTTCGCCAATGTACTTAACAAAGTCGGGGGTGAGCTTGATGATCCGTGACTTGAGAGCAGATGTCCGGTATTTGGGGAACCAGCTGTCATAGGAGCAGTTCAGGATGTGATCTCTCGTCAGGGGCGGAAGGCGATTTCTGGAACATCGGATGCTGTCGCATTGGGGTTTGCATGCGACTCTGAGAGCCCCGCGGCGACTGCTTCAAGAGACGGCATGGTGGGGGTTTCTCGAGAAGTCAAATGGCCAACAAACCAGATAGAAAACTGAAGTGCCGCGGATCCTCACTCCTCTCTCCGAAGAACCTTGACTTTTGATCAGGGCAAGTCGTCAGCAAATGATCCTTCACTGACTCACAAGAAAGATGTCGAGGATTCTCAGAGTCACTGGTGCTCCTTCAGATGCCCCGCCACCCGTCACTTTCCTGCCGCCGCCGCCCACGTTCGCCCCCCCGGCGAACACGCTGACCGCCTACCGCATGCATCCATTATCTTATCGCCCTGCATCGTCCGCCCTGAACCACCCATGACGGCCAACCTCTCCGTTCCTCCATTCTGCGGACCACGACCGCTCAAAAGCACAGCCCATCACGCATCATGTCCGACAACGTGGGCCTCTCGACGCCCCGAGGCAGCGGCACCTCCGGCTACGTCCAGCGCAACCTCGCGCACGTGCGCCCGCGCGACAACGCGGCGCCCTACCCCAAGGACCTCGAGTCGCTCCGCCACCGGCAGCGCCAGCCCGACAAGGAGATTCTCGAGCACGACCGCAAGCGCGAGGTCGAGGTCAAAGTGTTTGACCTGCGCGACCAGCTCGAGGAAGAAGAGTATGCCCCCAATAGCCTCATGGCGACTGGTTGTTGAGATGGGCCCGCTGACAGCAGGGACAACAGGGTCGACGAGGAAGAGATTGACAAGCGATGCGACGAGCTGAGGCAGAAGCTGCTCGCCGAGATGGAGAGCAAGAAGCATGGCGGCGGCGGCGGCGGCGGCCCGATCCGCAAGGGGTTCAAGAGCCACCAGGTGCACGAGATGGCGGATGCCAAGATCAAGGAGAGCGAGAGGCTGCGCAACGCGCTCAAGATCAGCAAGGACTACGAGGAGGGGAGCCATTGGAGGCGGCAGGAGGACAGGCTGCGCACTGCGCTGGACCATGACGTCAAGAGGGAGCCCGAGGCCAAGGGGGATTAAGAGCCATGGTGAAAAGAAGCTGGCGGATGGCCGGATTGCATGGCGGGGGCGTTCTGGGCGTTCAAGTCCCCATGTTCATTATGATTACGCTCAAAGGGCCTTTCTGGACAAAAAGGCAGGTATGAAGAGCGGGATATGCTTCTCTAAGATGTTGTCCATGTTGTACGTGTTGTACATGTTATACAATTTTGTGCGGGTTGTACATATGTGTTGTGGTACAATCGTGTAGATGATGTCGGAAGGAATCACCTCTTCCGTGTAGACCCTGGCGTCCACGCCTCTGGCTGCCACCCTTCTCCAGCTCCTCTCGCCTTCTTCCAGGGGTCCTGCTCGGGCTTCTTCTCCTCCGGTGCCGCCGCAGCAGCTTGTGTTGTTGCCGTCGGCGCCCTCGCCGCATCGTCCCTCGCCTCATTGACCGCAACGCGCTCAGGCGCAATCGGCTGCGTCTTGGAGGTGTCGAGCGCCGGCACGGGCTGGCCCATGTCGCGGCCGGGAGCGTCCATGACCCTAGGCTTCGCCTCCCAGCGCGCATCGGCCTGGGCGGCGAGCGTCTTCATCCTCTCCTGGCGAAACTCGTCGTTGGACTGCTCCTCAATGGACGGCGGGTTCTCGCGGGTGTAACGCAGCCACTGGTGCCAGAGGGGCGAGACGTTGACTTCGGAGTAGTGGGTCGAGCGCGGGGGCTTGACGATGCGGCGGAAGCGGCCGGGGCCGTCGCCGCGTTGTTCGCGAAACTCCCAAAAGGTGTTGCCCTTGAGGTCGCGGCCTGGACGGGGTCAGGAGACAAACTTTGGTTGGGGGCGTTTGCAGGTGGGTGTGGGACGCAGCATGGAAACGTACCGATGAGGAATTGCTTGCGCCACGGGAGACGCAGCATCTTCCACCTGTACCATGTCTGGACTAAGGAAGACATGATGGCCCTCTGGTGTGTCAAGGTCAAGGGGAGTTATCGAGCTGAGTCGAGGTTGCGGCAGAGAGCATGTCTTGACAAGTGATGAGGTCAAGCTGGCGACAGAGAGCATTGCACCGCCACCAGCCTTGCGACACCAGCCACCAGCCACCAGCCACCCGCCACCCCGCACACGTCACTGCCCACACTCGAGGTACCTGCCCATGCTGCCTTGTCGAGGTAGTGTCCAGGTACCTGCCTTGTTAGTAGACCTCACAGGAAGCGCGGCCCAGCCGGCTGTGCTCTGGTCATGGTCCAGGTTTCTTCGCTGCGGCCTCATCAATCACCTTCCAGAAACCCTGGGCATAAACATCAAATCTCCCACCCACAACCCCATCCCACGAGGTGCGTTGGTCTCGCCAATGCTTGCCACGACGCCGGCAGTCTCATCGCGCCACACATTCATCACTTGCATCATTCACCCTATCGACACTATCGACACCCAACGAGCCGTCAGCTTGCCGCATCATCAGTGACGGCAATTGCTCTCCCTCACATTCCGATCCTCCCTGAGACCCCCGCCTTCGACGCCCAACATTGTCATTTCTTTGCCTGTCGAAACCCGACGAATCTTCTGCGAGACGTGCCATCTATCGATCAATTCTGCGACCACACACTTTCAACGACACTTCCAACGCAAGCCCAGACAAGAAACGAGAAACAGGGATTCAGAGCAGCCCTCGAAATGGCATCTGTATCGTCCTTGGACAAGGACCTGCGCAAACTGCGCCTCGACAGATACACACCAGCCGCCGCCAATGAAGTCAAGTCATGGATTGAATCTACGCTCGGCGAGAGGCTTTCACCCGGTGATCTCCTCGAGAGCCTCAAGGATGGTGTGGCTCTCTGCAAGTACGAAATGCCCCTCCATGATACTCTGCATCGACAGCTGCCCCTTCATGATACTCTGCATCAAGAGGTAGACCCTCATACTAATAAAATGTTCCGACAAACATAGGCTCGTCAATCTCGCATTGCCCCCGCCAGGCATCAAGTTCAAGCAGTCCGCCATGCCGTTCGTCCAAATGGAGAACATCTCCCACTTTCTGCGCGCCTGCAAGTCCCCGCCACTGAACCTCCAAGAACACGATGTCTTCCTGACCGTCGATCTCTACGAACAAAAGGACCCCGCCCAGGTCCTGCAGTGCATCAGCGCCTTCAGCCGTGCCGCCCACGGCGCCAACCCCGCCAGGTTCCCCTCGGCCGTCGGTGGCCCCAAGCGCAGCAGCGTCCTGAGCCCCCAGAGCACCGGTCCGAACTCGCCGGCGTTGCCGGCCCGCAACAGGGGCCTGTCGACGGCGAGCAACGGCTCGTCCGCCTTTGGCGCCGGCCAGCAGCAGCGGCCCGCCCTGTCGTCGCACAAGACGGGTGATTCGGGTTCTGGCCGCTGGAGCCCCACCAAGAGCAGCCCCACGAAGCCCACGTCTCCCGTTAGCAGCTGGAGCCGCAAGGAGCACGAGGGCGCGACCTCGCCGGCCTGGAACATTGCGCAGTACGGCTACCTCGGCGGCGCCAGCCAGGGCAACCTCGGCATCTCGTTCGGTGGGCGCAGACAGATCACGACCGCTGGCCCCTCCGTGCCCAGCCTTGCCGAGAAGCAGCGTCTGCGACGAGAGCGCGAGGCTGAGGAGGAGCAGCAGCGGCTGCAGACTGAGGAGGAGAACAGGCGGCGCCAGGCCGAGCGCGAGGCCGAGGAGGAGCAAGCGCGCCTCGAAGAGGAGCGTAGGTGGGAGGAACAGACGCAGCTGCAGCGGGAGGCGTCGCGGCGCAAGGCCGAGGAGGAGAAGCGCAAGTGGGAGGAGGAAGAGCGGCAGTGGAAGATGACCGAGGAGAAGCGCCGCAGGGAGGAGGAGGAGGCTGAGGCGCGGCTGGCGGCCGAGAAAAACAGCTCGCGGAGCAACAGCGACGCGCGGCTGCGCGGCCAGTTCCTCAGCCAGTACAACGAGGAGCAGGGACTCAAGCCGCAGAAGACAGGCAACGAGCGCATTGCCGAGCTCGAGCGTGAGCTCGAAAAGGCCCGCGAGCGCGAGAGGCAGTATGAGCAGGAGCGGCAGGGCCGCACCGGGCAGCAGCCGCGCGTCGTCGAGGACCCCAAGTCAAGGGCCCGGTCTAGGAGTCGGCCCGCGGAGGGGAGCCCGCCCATGCGCCAGGACTCATGGTCTCGCGGCGAGCGCGAGGTCCTAAGGACGGCGTGGAACCAGTCGCAAGAACCAGGGCCCAGGCCTGTACCGGCGCGGCCCATGGCAGCCTCGCCTACGCCCTCGGCCAAGTCGCCTCGCCCGCTGCCTGACATTGGCTCAACCCTGAACAACCAGCGAGGCGCCGTCTCCCCTCCGGCACCTACGCGAATCCCACCGCCCCCTGCCCGATCCCGCGGCATTCGCAGCACCCGCCAAGGCTAAGAGTCCGAAGCAGGAACCCGCAGCCATTGCGCCGCCCCTGATTGTCAAGAAGAACCATACGGGCAGCTCACGGCCGCTTCCCGACCCCACGGCATACACTTCATCTTCCTCCTCACCCCAACCTCCGCCGCCACAGCAAAATCGCACGGATAAGTTCCTCAGCAGTAACCCGGCCCCGGAGCAGGCGGCCCCGACACAGACATACTCACGCGAGCTCGGCGCCACGGCCGAGCAGGACGGCGAGGACCGCCGGCGTGCGCAGAGCCAGGCCAAGACCAAGGCTGGCGGCTGGGCGTCCAAGTCACTCCTCGAGCGCGAGATGGAGATGGAGAGGCAGCGGCAGCGCGAGTGGGAGGAGGCACAGCAGGAGACGGCCAAGGCCGTGCGGTCCGGCGACGGCGTCGACGGTATCGGAGGCGGTGTTGGCGGCCGCTGGGACGTCGGCCAGTGGTCCGGCTTCACGGGCGGCGACAGCCAGAACAAGGGCGGTCAGGGCATCGGCGCCGGCCGGAGGCAGATTGTGGGGCCGAGGCCGCTGCCGGGGGGGAGCAGGTGAGGGACCTAAGGGTGTGGGGATGCTTCGTCTGTTTACTCTCGGGGGTTTTTCTGTAGATATGAATAATATTCACAAGTCAGTTTACACATGCTTGGGTACGGCAAAGAAGATTGATGATGATGATCATAGTTTACGCTGCGGACCTATCTAGCAAGCGAATGTCCTGGTCTCCCTAGCTTCTACTTCTGAATATACACTGTAGACCTGCTCGATAGCCGACTTGACGGGAGACCATCTCTGCATTTTGGGAGGTGCAAGAAGGGTCTTCAGGGGAGGACTGTGGAGCCACGGGCGTGGTCGTCTTGAGGGCTGCAAGAACGTGAATATAGTGCCATCGCTGGCTACTTGCGTACCTCAGTCAGGACACAGCCCTGTCAGTGAATGGGTCGTGCCAAGTTTAGGTCCAGTGGCTCTCTGGATGATTCCCCGTGGACTTCTTGTCGACCTGGTGCCGAGGGATCCCTTCTCGTGGGGAGCACCTGTGAAGCCGAAACAGTGGCGAGGGAGGGAGCAATCCCTCCAGCACCATGACTGCCAGGAACATTCATGACCTTATCGTTCATGTTTGAGGCCCCGTTGCTGTTCTCGCGAATACGCTTGGTTTCTTGCAATGGTCATCAGGCTGGCGAATCTTCTGCGACCCCGGGGCATGCAGATCATGGCTGCGAACCGTTTGCCGTGTCTGAAGTCAGCGGGTATCATGCAGCGCCCTCGGCCCTTCGAGAATGATGAGGCAGACTGCAAGGCATCTCGTTGTTTCTCTCTCTTCATCCATCTCGCCCCCGCCATCCTTGGCGTATCGGCGAAGCTCGCGGCGTCTATCGCTCTTCTTCAATCAGCTTTCACCCATCAGTTTTGCCAATTTCACGTCTCGTCTGCATTGCAGTTCTGTTCTTGTACTCTGTATTGATTAGGACAGCACCACAATGCCCGTGGAACTCGTCATCGGCGTCGTCGGGCTCGCGATCCAGGCCATCGACACGTCGCAGAAAGTCAAGTCTGTGATCGAAGACTACCGCTCCGCACCACGAGACATCCAGCGACTCGAAACCAAGCTTGGGTTTGTCGAGAACCGATGCGCTCGCATCAAAGCCATCTTCCGGGATGAGAACGTCGTCCGAGGTCAACGTCTCATCAGCGAGGCCTTGTGCAAGAATCTACTGCGCGACATTGATGGTACCATCAAAGAGCTCGGAGAAATCCTCACTGACTTACAGAAGAGGCTTGCAAAGAAGGGACTGATCGATGGGCCAGGAAGGCATTTCGTCAAGCAGAAGGATTCCATTCAGAAGTTGGTCGCCGAGCTGGATAGTGACCTCGCCATGCTTGACCGAGCATTGACGCCTGATATTTAGTGTGTTACATCAGGAATCCATCCCTCCAGTTTGTGAGCTTTTTTTTGACGGTATTTGCAGCTCAAGTGTCGAGTCTATACACCAAACCATTGTCATATCGCCACAACCTCAGAAGACGAGCGACGTGCTCAACATCAGTGCGCCAGAAATGACGCCAATCCCCAGGAAGCTTGTGCCCTTTACAGGGGCCGAAACTAGCAAGTCTGCCATCATTTTGGAGAAGACTGAAGTGCGGAGCGAGGTTTCACGCTGGCTCTTCTCGCTTGAGGTCTGTCATCAACAGAAGAAGAGAACCACTCAAGTTCGCGACAAGGACGAGTGCCAGCCCGACCGTGTGGATTATGAAACTAGTCTGATCTTCTCCCATTACATCTCATCATACCGTGTTCAGTTTACCTGGCGACCAGGGTTTATCGCCGCGCCATCTTTTGCGCTGAGCATGCCTTATGTTGTCAAGCTTTGCGCATATGGGCGGAGATCTGATGTGATTGCAAGAAAGATTGAGTCAGCACTTTATCGCGATGATGTAGGGGCCCTACAGGAGCTTTTAAGCAAACGCAGTCTTTCGCTGAATGCCCAACTTGTTGGACATGATCCTATAAGTACGAGGCCTTGTACGCTTTTCGAAGTAAATTCCACGCGTATCTTTCGGGATTTGTCTTTGCAATCATACAGGTGCTTAGTTCGCTTCATGAAAGTTAACATGCAAATAGGCTGCAGCCTGGACTGGCTGCACACGTCTTGTCCGATTTCTTTGGGAAACAAAGCCCGCTAGAGCTGAGAGACAAAGCATACAATATGTGAGCTCTAGTACATGCTACCTGCTCATCCAGATTCTGACACTGACAACGCACCGAAGCCTTGAAAAAGCCGTCATACCTCACTCTAGACTGTTTGGAAAAGATTGGTGCAAATTCAAGTGCAGACATCACGCTGCCGAAATCATGGACATGGTACTTCCGTTTTGGAAGCAAAAGTCCATCGAGCCACTTTTCCGGTCTGTTATTGTGCTTTGTCCGAGTCCAGCTTATCTTCAGTATTGCTTTGAAAGATGTCAATGCTACATGTTTGATGAGTACCAACATCTTCGCCGCCTCAGCTGGTATTCGGCGTTCGAATGCGTAATGAACGTCGACGCCCCGGAGGGCAGTCTAAACTTCGAAGCGCAACAATCACTTCTGAAAATGTTAGTAGAAGATGCGGCTGGCACGCAAAAGCCAATGTGCTTAGTTCCATTCCTTTATACCGTTGATTTTGCTTGTGCAGTGGGAGAATACTCTTCAGACATCGAGACAGCACTTGGCAGATGGCTGTACTTGCTTCAAATGGCCGGCGTTAATGTCCATGAATACTTGCAAGGCGAGTCAATAGAAGTCGAAAGCCATCAGGAAGCAACGTAAAACATTGTACACCCAGGGTCACCGTACTCGTTGAGTTATCATATATCGATCACACTGGAAGCCGGATCTTGGGTGCCAACTTGTTCTCGTTTGATGGAGGCCGAAGACAAGCAAACAGCTTTCGAGCTACGACAAATATTTAAAGAGCTTGGCTCTTGTGGTTCCCATCGACAAAAGATTCCTGAAAGGGCCTTGGCCCTACTAATAGAAAGTGCGAAAGGGGGTCATGATTCTCACAGCCGAATCAAAGAAGCGAATGAGTTGATTGCTCGCGAGTACTGGCCTTTGAACGATTGTGGCCCTGAGCAATGTGAACCTCTGCCGTTTAGAGAATCCCCTGGATCTTTGGACTCAGCGGACCATTGGTCGAGTGTCAGCATTGAGCGGCTTTTTCTTTCCTACCTACGCAAGGAGCGATTTGAACGGCGTCAACGGAAGAAATTGGCTAAGAAAAGGGCGAGCCCAAGGTCAAAGAGAAGTGAAGGCACGCAAACGATACCAGGAGCTTGGGTCGAGGGATGACGGTTTTCATGGGCATGCTCGGAAGATTTGAGCCAAGGGCTTAATGAAGGAAGCCTTTGATTGAGATGACTTTTTAACATTCAATACTGACGACTCGCACTCTCCTCTGACTAGTTTGACTTGAAAAATACCCCATGCATCTGCCACAAGGATCAGACTATGGGTCCTGCTCCGAGCAGAGCTCAGCGGCGGTCATGGGACGGCAGACAATTTGTGAAAGTGTGAGCTAGACCTCGTCACTCTAGCTGTTCCACCTGCAAGCGGCACGAAGATGAGCCAACAGCCTGGATAGCTACCTACACAGGCACCTGGATAAGTACTCCATCAGACCAACCAGAGCCGCAGGTGGCATGGCTCACCACCGACCAAAGACATACAGTGCGACCGCAACAAGATGATGCCTTGCGCAATGGCATGTGCGAGATCCCTGAACAGAGGAGGATCGTCGCGCATGAAAGACATTAATCAACGTGACACAGGGGTCTCGGACCACCCACGAGCCTCGAGAGATGAACCTCACGTCACCTCTGCCCCACATTGGACGACGTCTGTTTGGAGACAAAACACCACGGCTCCCGCGGGGGAGTGTGAGCACTGGGCCATACATCACTGACGACCGAATGCCTCCTCATCGGCTCCGCCGTCCTCGATGGGTTGATTGCTGCCTGGACTCACTGACCTTTGTGGCATTCACTACATGAGGCTGACAGCCCGCCACAGCGAAACCTCCAACGACACCCCATCGCCTCACTGGGCAAACCACCCACTTCTGTCTTACAAACCTGTCGAGTCACCACCCGCATATCCGAAGCCAAAAAGAACCTGACAATGGCCCACCGCACCTTCAACGTCCTCGCGCTCATCACCCTCCTTCTCACGGCGTGCAGCCCGGTCCTCTCAGCCGCCCTCCCAGCCTGCAACCCCCCCATCCCAAACACAACCTGCGAAGCCCTCAAAATGTCCTCCGGCGACCCAAAACCCCTCTACCTCTCCACCACCTTCGAGAAAACCATCGACGCCAGCCTCGCAGGCCAACACGCACCGAACCGCACCACGACAACCCCATGCCCCACCCTCCTCTGCGACGCCGCCTCAGCAATCTTCTCGGGCAAGTCAACAGACCCCTCGGCCCCAGAAACAGCAGACTGCGCCCTCCTCGAGACGTGGGCGGCCGGGTCGAGCGGCCACTGGCTGCTCTCCGCGCCAGGGGCGGATGGGGGCTGGACGCCGCTCGTCGCGACGGGGACGTGCGCTGTCGTCGCGCGCGCCGAGGGCGCTTTCGCCATCGGCACCGAGGACGTCGCGGACCTGCTCGGGACGAGTATCCGGGACTACGGCATGGGGGATCGGGTCGAGGTGCTGGGGGTCATGCCTTGTGCTGAGGCTCGTGGGTTTGCTGCTGGCGGGGGAGAAAAGGGACGCACTATCAGGATGGAGTGGTGGGTTGTGCGGCCTGACATGATGGAAAGCTTGGGAGGGGGGAAGTATCGATGAGAGAAAGTCTGAGACAACCCGCGGCGAGATGGTCACAATTCATCCTCTTTAGTCGTGGGCTTTTTTATTACATGCTTCGGTCTGGAAAAAACATGAAAACGCTGTACGAGTCACAGTACAACCACCAGCGAACAAGGTCATATTCATGTCGAACTCATGTAATTATATTATCTGCGGCTGCTTATTACCAAAGCCCTTCCTCATCCGGGTATAGCGTAGGACCTGAAAACTTCATGACGAGAGACAAAGGGAATTACTTTCATTTCTTAGCGGGTGAACAAAGGAGACTCCTGGCCGGCGTGGCCAAGGGGAACAGTCTGAGAGTTGGGGTTCTGGCTGGTCAGGCCGTCACCGGTGAGGCTCTGGCCGCCGATGATGCCCTGGCCCGTGAGGCCCTGTCCGCCGAGTGCCTGGGCAGATATGCCCTGGCCTGCGAGGGCAGACCCGCTGAGGCCTTGACCTCCGTAGCCCTGTCCATCAAGACCCTGGCCCTGAGTGCCGTAGGTTTGACCGCCGAGACCCTGGCCCGTGGCGTAAGCCTGGTTGTTGCTGTATCCCTGGCTGCCGTGGGCCTGTCCGTTGGAGTAGCCCTGACCCGAAGTAGGCTGGGCGCTCGTCTTGGGAGGGCTCATGGGGCCATGGGTCTTGCGCTGAATCTTAGGAGCGACGGGGATGTCGTTCGACTTGCTAGCCTTGCCAATGGAGAACACAGGGCTCTCCCAGCGGTCTCCCTTGCGAGCGAGCTCCTTGTATTCAGTGGCCTTGGTGCTGATGCCTCCAGGAAGGTTGATGTTGGGGAAGATGCTGTCCTCCTTGGTCATGGCAACATTGACCTTCTTGTCCTGAGCAATCTCCTTGGCCTTCTGCTTCTGCTGCAGGACACGCTTCTGGGCGGCCGTGTAGTAGCGGTTGTAAATGTTGGGAGTACGCTCGGGATCGGAGCGAGCCTCGTCAAGGGCACGGTCAGCCTCCTGCTTGATCTGGTACAGCAGCTGGTCGAGCTGATTGGCCTGATCCTTGAGGCTCTTCTCAACAGCCTTCTGCAGGGCGGGCTTGATGACCTTCATCATGATGGGCTTGAAGAGGTTGAAGAGAAGCTTGTGGTTGGACTGCTTCAGCTTGATGCTCATGTTCTTAATGTCGACATCGACCTTCTCGATCTTGAAGAAGTTCTGGCGATCAGACTTGTCGGCGGTGGCGCACTTGGCCTTGAAGGAGAAACCATCGCCGGCAAGAATAAAGTCGGCAACACCGGTATCGGTGATCGAGGGGAATCCCTGCTTGCGGGCGATGTGGTAGCTCACATCACGAAGATCCATCTGAATACCAGAAACCTTGATGTCGAACACTTGCTTGTTCTTGTTGGCAATCTTCTTGCGGCCCCAGCGGAAGTGGTGCTCGGTGTTGATCTCCATGACGTTGGGCATGAAGTTGTCCGACTCGAGAACCAGGTTCTCGATGACAGCATCGAACTGAGGGTCGGAGTACTCGATGCGGGGGACGGGGATGTAGGCCGCATTCTCGAAGATAGCGGGAACGATGACCTCTGTAAGGTCCTTGACAAGGTGAGGCTTGAAGGTGGGCTTGCCATTCTCATCGTTGCCAAGGTCCTGGAATAGCTTCTGAATGGACTGACCGAAAGCTTTGTTCTGAGGGTCGTTGTCAAACTCATTGATGATGAAGCGCATCTCGTCGACAACGCGGTCAGTGTGCGAGCGGTACTTCTCGCGCAGAAGGTAGCGACCCTGGTCATACAGGCGGCGCCACTCCTCGTTGGAGGCGTCTTCGAGGATGTAACCCTGCTTCAGCAGGCAGCGGCGGATGTACTGGTTCATAGACTTGAACCAGCCCTTGAGCTCAGGGTCGCGGTCGGCGTCCTGGTAGATCTGACCAATAGAGTTCCAGAGATCCTCGGTCGAAGTGCTGTTGGCGAAGCGCTCAATCAGAGTCCTGAGGTCGGACTCGGCCTGGGCCAGACCGCCGCGGGCCTCCCTGACAGTACCAGAGCCGCCCTGAGCCATGGCCCTGGAGTGGCTACCGTACTCCTCAGCGAGGTTGAGAAGAGTCTCGATGGCCTGAGAGTAATCCGGGTGCTGCTGGCATTCAAGAACCATCTTCTTGAGGCGCCAGATGGTCTGGTCACGGCGGTTCTCCGGCACTTTCTTGCTGAGGTAGTCACGAGCCTTGCGGCGGTACTCCTCCTTGGACTTCTTGATCTGCTCCTGGGTCTCAGGGTTGACGTTCTTGTCAACCTTGTCTTGGAGGGTCTGCTTCGCGTTGGAAACGCCAGCCTGCGCATTCACACCGGAGTTGGTGCCCTGCTGTTGGTCGCGAGCAGTGGCCTGGGCGAGGTCATTAGGGTCGCTTGATCCAGTGGGGTGAGCGGCCTGGTTGCCGGCAGTGGCGACATCCTTCAGGTCCTTCTTGGCGTCACCCTTGTACAGGCCCTGGGCTTGTTTGCGCATGTTGTCCTTGGAAAAGTCGGGCGCGTCGTGCCAGGTGTTGTCCTCGGCGGGGCGGTCAATGTCGTCGAGCTGCTCCTGCGAGGGTCGAACCTGAGAGGCGGCATTGGTGGCTGCGTCTCCCGCGATGTCACGCAGCAGAACGGAAGCATCCTTCAGGAGCTTGCGGAACTGGCCGTTGGTGATGAGCAGGGTGCCGAGGGTCCTCAGACCCTGCAGGGCCTGGTCGCCATGCTGCTGGGCGGTCTCCTTGTTAACGGGGGCGCCAGGAACATTGACCGACTTGGCATCCCACTGTTCCGTCTGCCAAATGAAGTCCTGGAGAAGGTTTCCTTGGTTCTTTGACAGAAGCAGGTGCTGGGCGTTCTTGACCACGTTGCGCGCGTCGGCTACCAGCGCACGACCCTCGGGCGAGAGCTTCTCCGGCGGGTTCGCGATGCCCTTGGAGTTAAGGAAGCTGTTCAGCGCGACATCAATTTGATCGTTCTGGTTACGCGTTAGCTAGAGGATCGCAGATGCAAAAAAAATTGCTGCGTAGGGGGGGGGGCAGCTTACGGAAGGAACCTTGCCGGCCTGGAATGCGGAGATGATTCCGTAGAGCTGTAGCTTGCGGTTGACATCGGCCTCCTTCTTCTTGATGTCGGTAGGCTTGTTGACGTTGGCAGACATGATGGGCGACGTAATGTGTTCCCTGAGACTGTTGAGAAGGGATGGGTTGAACTTTTGTACTGCGGCGTCCCGAATTGAGCTTGGTAGTCGCTCAAAGGGTGATGCTGTTGTAGGGGGCGGATTGGTGAAATATGATGGTGTTCTTCGTTTGAGGTGGAGTTGGTATCAGGCCAACAATGGAGGTTGTTTTGTTATTAAGAGCGGGTTGGGTTGGGTATCACTGAGGAAAGGGGTATAATGGGAGTGGAAAATCCAAGGCCTGATTATTGTTGATTGGGTATGAGAGAAAAGTAAGAGGAGGAAACAGCAGAGACTTCGCGGAAGTGGCAGGTACGACA